TGGAAACGAACAAGGCGTCCGTGCACTGCTGGACAGTGGAGCCCAAAATAGATTTATAACGCGACAATGTTGTCAGCGCTTAGGCTTAGTAATAAATAGGTCACTTTCATGTCCCGTAGTCAAAGGCATCGGAGGTACTAGTAAAAGTTACCCAGGGATATATAAATTTAAAATTTTATTCTCGGATAGATCGTAATGTTAACTTCGATATAAATGCACTAGTAGTAGATAGGGTCACTGAACGGCTGCCAACCGTTTCGGTTGACACCTCGGCAATGATTGAATTTAAAAATTTGACTCTAGTAGACGACACTTACGCCGTTCCCGGAAACATAGACATGCTCATTGGAGCATCGTTTTTCCCTCATCTTTTGTTAAACAATAAGGTCAGGGGCAACTCCTCGCATACCGCGCCTTACGCACTCGAAACCGTATTGGGCTATGTCATCATTGACTCCACCCCCATCATAGATAGTATTTCGGCAACCTCTTATTGTGGTATGGCTGTCGAACCGCTCGAGTCGTTAGTCCGCAAATTTTGGGAGATGGAGGAGGTGAACGTCCCACCCATAGCTAGCTCAGATGACAGATTATACGAGGAAATTTACGTCCGCACGATCGTTCGTGATCGCGACGGTAGATATAGTGTAGCGCTACCCTTTAAAGGAGATGTTTTATCTCTCGGCGATTCGCGTCAAATGGCGGAAAAACGTTTCTACAGCTTGGAGCGTAGGATGCTCGCTTCACCCCAGTTAAAAGAAGCTTATGACGGCGTCATTAACGAATATATAAGGGAAGGTTACATATCACTTGTGGCTTCGAAATTAGATAACTACGAAAACACACCGTCATATTTCATACCACACCACGGGGTCACTAGGGAGGACAAACTTACATCTAAGTTACGTGTAGTACTCGACGTTAGTGCTAAAACTAGCACTCACCTGTCGCTTAACGATATCCTCTATAGTGGGCAAAATTTACAGGGCAGTTTATTTAATATAATAGCCAATTTTCGTTTGTTTAGTATAGCACTATCCGCCGATATTCGCCAAATGTTTCTTTGCATAGGGGTCCGTGAATGCGACCGTAGATTCCAACGCATTTTATATCGTTTCAACCCAAAGGAACCTCTAATGGTGTTTGAATTTAACCGCGTTTGTTTTGGTTTAAAGTCGAGCCCATTTCATGCGTTACGCACGGTGAGACAGCTCGCTCACGATGAAGGTCCCTCTTATCCTAAAGCTAAGAGGGCAATTGAAAGTGGATTATATATGGATGATTTTGTGTACTCGGTCGATAGCGTGGAGGAGGCCACCCTAACCACCGTCGAGGTTATAAAGCTCATGAAATCAGGTCAATTCGATCTTGTCAAATGGACTAGTAATTCGCGTTCGATTTTAGACACAATCCCCTATCACATCGTCTTTCAGCGATAAAGGAATTCGACGATTCTGATACACACAAGGTGCTCGGTCTGTGTTGGTCACCAGAGTCCGACGTATTTAGCCTAAAGGTAAATCCGCCCGTAGAGAAGTGCACAAAGCGCACAATACTGTCATGCGTTGCTAGATTATGGGATGTCATGGGTTTCGTAGCTCCGGTGGTATTATACGCTAAGCTTTTGATTAAACAACTTTGGTTATTTGAATGCGATTGGGATGACTCGCCGCCTGACAGCATTGTTCGGTTGTGGCAGCGTTTTAGAGAGAAACTTCCTTTACTAAGAGAAATTAAAATACCGCGTCATATAAACGTCGATAGAAATAGCGTCATCACGGTCGTTGGGTTTGCAGACGCCAGCGAGAAGGCTTACGGGGGCGTTGTATATTTCCACGTCCAGAATAATGGTAGAAATTCGATTAGCCTCATTAGTTCTAAGTTGAGAGTCTCCCCCCGTAAGGTTGTCTCTCTGGCGCGCTTAGAGCTTTGCGCAATATTAGTACTCACCAAGCTTATTACCGCAGTTATCAGCGCATGTAGGGATAGAGTCCACATAGAAAGGATATTTGCCTTTTCCGACTCCACCGTCGCCTTATGCTGGGTTCATTCTTCACCCCACCGTTGGGATACGTTTGTCGCGAACCGAGTGGCCAAGATGCAAGACGAGTTAGAAACGCAGAACTTTTATCACGTGTCCGGTACGGAAAACCCTGCCGATTGTCTTTCCCGTGGACTCACCCCGATGCAAATAATGGACCACCCGCTTTGGTTCCACGGACCTTCTTGGGTTCACTTGGATCCCTCGCAATGGCCAATAACCGATTTCGAACCTTCGTCAGTGTCACAACCGCCGGAAGAGAAGAGACACGCTCTAGTGGCGAACGTTTCGAGCGAGGTTTCTCCAATCATTGCTTTAGCGAACCGCTTGTCCTCTTGGTCGAAATTATTGCGTAGCTTAATTTACGTTTGTCGATTCGCGAAGCTTTTACCGCGACGTTCGTATGTCTTAGCGTCCGATTACGACTATGCCGAGTTGCTAGTATTGCGTGAACTTCAACGTGCGCATTTCTCGGAAGAAATTACAAGATTACAATCGAATAGAGCTTGTAGTCGCGCCTTTCAACGCCTTAAGCCATTTTTACAGGATGGGATTGTAAGGGTAGGTGGACGCTTGTCCAACTCGCAGTTGAGTTTCGACCAACGGCACCCTATAGTTCTACCGCATAAAGACCATATCATGAATTTATTAGTCGATTACCATCATAAATTGAATTCGCACGCTGGCCCCGACTTGCTGATGTCGATCTTGCGTCAGAATTATTGGATTCTTTCTGCACGTAATTTAATCCGCAATCGGGTGCACAGATGTATAGCTTGCTTTCGGACACGCCCCAAGCCGTCATTTCCGGAAATGGCGGAACTTAGATCTTGTCGAGTAATACAATCAGTAAAGCCCTTTACGCACACCGGGTCTGATTTTGCTGGTCCGTTTAAGGTCACGCTCACTCACGGGCGTGGTTTAGGATCCACAAAGGCTTAAGTCTGCATTTTCGTATGTCTAACTACAAGGGCGGTGCATATAGAACTCGTTGGTGATCTAAGCACAGCAAGCTTTATGGGTGCATTTAAAAGATTTCTTCCCGCCGTGGCCCCGTAAGTAAATTATATTCGGATAACGGTACGAACTACGTCGGTGCAAAACGTATTTTATCAGAACTACATGAGCTCTTAGCTAGCAAGTATTATAATTCGGAGTTCGCTCACATTCTAGCCGAGAACCGCATTGAGTGGTCTCTGAACGTCCCAGCCGCGAGTCATTTTGGGGGCAATTGGGAGACTAATATTAAGAGTCTAAAGAGTCACTTATACCGAGTAATAGGAGATCAAATTTTGTCCTTCGAAGAGCTAAGTACGGTGCTCGCTCAAATTGAATGCGTAATGAATAGCCGCCCACTTTTTCCGCCAAATTATTAGACCGGTTAGTGCAATCGTTTTGGAAACGATGGAGGATGGAATACTTGCATACTTTGCAGTCTCGGCCAAAATGGAACACAGCAACTGAGTCTTTAACTGTAGGAACTGTGGTTGTACTCACCAAAGAGAATACGCCGCCTCTCCATTGGCCATTAGGAATTGTCGAAGAGGTCTTTCCCGGTTCCGACGGAGTAATTAAAGTAGCTCGCGTTAAGACCACGGTTGGGTCTTACATGCGTCCTGTTGTCCGTTTGTGCCCCTTGCCTCTTCCATAGTTTAAATTAGCTTTTTAGATTAGAGATTGTAGTTGAATTTAGGTAATCTTAGCGTTAGTTAGTTATTTGTCGGTTTGATCTTAGCTCTAGTTGTCTTAGTTATTTTGAAGGAAATCCTTCAAGGGCGGGGGAAGATGGTTGCGCGGAAAACCATTCGTATTTATTTATATTTGACGGTAGGCTTGCCAAATCGTTTATCCCTTTCCAAACGATATCATTCATACCCTCCTATCAACACATCGGGGTGGTGGGGTGGGAGGGAAAAGAAGATGATTCTAGAATATTACGCGATCATCGCAACCGAAGGAATAAAAAGGCACGCGCGGCCGACGCGCACTCTCTTCCCGCCGCGCTCGTCGTTGGAACCACACCGCTTAAGACAATAGTGTCATAGAAGGGCTATTGCCCACGCGCACCGCTAGTATAACTGCTTTATCCTGGACGCAGTCGAACTCTAGGAAACCCGCCTCACCTCGTGTGAGAAATAGTCGCGCACCGCACTCTCTCCCGACGCATCACCGGACAAGAAAGCATCTCTGGGGCCCCAGAGTGTCTTCCAGAGGTCGCAGCGCAGCAACATAACATAGTGCCCAAGCCGCATAGAAGCAACACCCCGGTGAGTGAACATTCCTACTAGTTCCTGCTTGATATAATTGTGTTTAATAGTTAATCCGCTCCAATTTTCATTTTCTCCTAATCAAGCGGGATTCCTTTCATAGATTTGGCAAATAATAGTTCGTTTAGGGAAGAGCGAGTGCATTGTATGGGAAACCGCGTGCTATAGTCGCCATTTCGTGTAAACGAAGAAGCATTTCGCATATACAGTCCATTTTGGGTTTAATATCTCGCGTAATAGGTTTAAGGCTTGACCGGGGAATTGGACTTCGGTAACCTTAGGCTCGTCGCTCCACCAAATATAAACGTCCTAAACTGGTGTTTGAACAGAATCACAAATGAAATATTGACAAAAATAACTTATTAGATTTATTTATATACTTTATCGAATGTGGCGACATTTAGTGAGTGAAAGATTATATTACATATTAACATTACTCGGATTGGAGTTGAGTTTTGACGGTGATAACTGGTGAATTGAAAGTGCAAAATTAAATTTACGATAAACTTGTATAACCTTTTCAGAACGGCTTGTTCTAATCGAGCGTTGATGTTTAAAAAATTGTACTGATTACTGAATTTTATTTTACCGTGTGGAAACGACTTCGATGGTTTGTGCGTTAATTTCGCCATTTATTGCGGAGGGTTGTGTGGGAGTAGAGCATATTAGTGACGCGTCGTGACGTGTTCAAGATGGACGTTCACTTTGTGGATCGCGACGGTCGACGTAAGTAAATTATTTTTCATTATAACTTATCATATTTATTATTTTTCATATCAAAATAGTTAATTTTAATGTTCACGTACAATAATGTTAAATAATCCTAGCAACTTTACAAGTTTTAACTAAAGTAATCGGCCCGCGAAATTTAAACGCAAGATCGTGCGTTGTCGTTTTTAATTGTTTTCCTTTAGGGTACACTAGTCGCTTATTCTTCCATACAAACGTAGTCTGGCGGTTACTCCACTGTTTGATGGTGTACGTTCAAAATAAAAAATGATTTCAATTTGTCTCATCATTATCTAGGCCTGTATGGAAACAAAAAAAAAGTAAAAAAGAGTATGTTTAAAAGTTATAAGCGTCGAGAATTCTAAATTTCAACACTAGTTTTAACACATCTTTGGGCGGAAATAAATACCATAAGAAGAACGAAAATTGCAAAACAGTTACCATACAGGGATAGATTAGTTGTTCAAAAATGCAAATAATTTTATTTTAAACAGATACCTACATTCAATAGATTTTTCATGACATCCAGACTACCAAAGGTCTGTTTATAAAATTTCGCGCGCACCTTTTTGTTGTAAATCATCTTGCCTTTCGCTACAAATTGTTTCCCCGATCAGTGGGACGGACGGAGGGGGGGCGCAGCGAGCACTCACACGTGCTCACTAGTTTAGCCGCTGCTATCTATTTATGGTTGTAATACATACATATCTACATCTTTATTTAGAAAAATTGCTTCCTTTTGTTTGTGTCCATTGCTAAAGCCGGGATGAATATAGCTGCTAAAAGTTTGTTGAACCACATTTAGTTAAAATTGAAAACAGGTAGGTACATAATAATGAACTTTCGATACAGGTAGTACATTAGGTACTTAACTACTTTAATTTGCTAACTAACGAAAACATCTCATAGATAAATATAAAAATTACCTATTCTAATTAACTTAATATAAAATTATCTATTAATTTAATTACATAAAATAAACAGGCACGCCTGTCACCCAGAGGGGTAGGCAGAGACTACGGACTTCCATTTGGCACGATCCTGACATACCTCTTTCGCCTCCTTTACATCCATATATCTACGCATACATGCTCGTCGGTTAAGGGTACTTCTAACGTGGCCCCTTTTCAAAATATCGCCAATTTGGTCGATAAACTTTTTTCTAGGGCGTCCCTTCCCGACTCGGCCGTTCACATCTGCCATATAAATTTGCTTTGTCACTCTTTCCTCATTCATTCTTTCTTTTCCCCCCCGTTACCCTCCCCTTTCTTCCCAATTATCCTTTTCCCCCCCTCCCCCCACCATAAAAAACACAAAACCCCCCCTTCTTTTCTTTCTCCTTTTTTTTTTTTAATTTTCCCCCCCTCCCTATACCTTCCTTTCTTTTTTTTTTTCCTTCCCCCCCCCCCAAAAAAACTAACTCCCTTTTTTTTTCTTTTTTATTTTTCCTTTTTTTTTTTTCAATCAACAACCCCCCCCTTCCTTCTTTCTTTTTTTTTCCCCCCTCCCCCTTTTTTTTTTTTTATTTTTTTTTTTTTTCTCGCTATAATCTTCCCCATCCCTTTTGAAACACTTTAACACAACAAAAACATGAAACTGAGAAGAAGCACCCGATCTGCCGAAACAAACTCAGAGAGGTCAGTCCAGGTATTACATTGGTCATGTCATACGAGAACCAGGCTAATATGGTCCTTTGAAGAAAGAATCATACAGATGTGAGTGGAAAACTAAGTACTTTTTAGGGTTCCGTACCCGAAGGGTAACCAGCAGGGCCCTATTACGAAGCCTCCGCTGTCCGTGTGTCTGTCTGTCAGCGGGCTGTATCTCATGATCCGTAACAGGTAGATGGTTGTAATTTTCACAGAACGTGTATTTCTGTTGCCGCTATAACAGCAAATAGTAAAAATAAATTTGAAATTAAAGGGTTTCCTACTAGAAAAGGAAACGTGTATTTTTGGCTTTTTTGAGCGATAGTAATATTTATAGGTACTATTTAAATCTTGTAAGATGGTACGGAAGCTCGGAAGTCCGATTCGCACTTGGCAAAATTATTGTTTATATTTAACCTTACCTCAGACATACTCATATTTTTTTATATATAATTTACTTACTATACTACTATATAAGCTACTACTAAATAAAATAGTAGTAGCTTTGCTATGGTATTATAGTATATTTTGGATTAGATTTAATTTATTACAGAATAATACGAACTATATAAAAACTAAGGAGCGCATCAACCTACCTCAGATATTGGGTTATGAATACAGATAAGTGCACATGGGATTTAGTTTCTAAGTTGTACATATTTTATAGCCTTCGTTATGAATAGCATAAACAGGCCAAGCCCCCTAGCCTACAAACGTTTCGTAACGAATCTCTTTCTACAATCGCGCCTTTACTTGTTTGGACTGACCACCTGACTCGTTCAGAGATATCATTCCCATACAGTGTTTAGTTTTCAACTAGTGTTATCTATCATAATATAAACCAAAATTTTATTTATATTTCGCTATTTTGTCTGTACTGTGAATTTGATTTACAATCGATCTCTAAATTGTAGTTTTCTTCTAATTACTTACCTTGTCTAGACGTGTTCTTTCGACTTCTGTAAGGAAGTCTGTGCTGTTAGTATTCCGTTTATATACGTTACTATTTTGATAGATGTTTGTGCTTGTCCCTGCAGTGACACAATGCCTATTGTTGATAACTTTCTATGTACTAAGAGAATATTGCAAACCGCTATTGAACACAAACAATCAATAAACAATTTACAAACTAACATTAAACTAACATAATTTTATTTATTTAATTAATCTATATAAAAGCCCCACTCACATCAAAATCACGCTGTCGAAAAAGCAGTTATCCTGACACTGGCTGGCATATACTTCGGGGAGTTGCCTGTGGGCTATTATAGCTAACTAGCTATGGTAAGTAAATACCTATTAAGAATACATAGTACCTACAGTAATATTTGCATAACCTACAGTAAAATACAAAAACAAAAAGAAAACATAATTATGTCACACTTTTTGTGTTTGTTTTAGAAATGGTTATAATTTTTTTCAAAAAAGGGTTTTTATGTTACCATTTTTAGTTGAGAGTTATGTCCCTTTAGTGGGTACAGGCGTGATATTATATTGTGTGATTGCGTAAAGAATGCATAGATAGACGATAGCAGCAATCGCGGTTGATTTGCTGTCATTTATTGAAGAGTGCCCCCGATTTCTCCAAGATCCCATCATCAGATCCTGACCATTGTCGATTAATGTGGGATTATCTTGAAAATATATCCTTTCAAAACCACATCTTCGATAAATCGGGGGACAGAACATACATAAACAAAAACCAACGAATTGAGAACCACCTCCTTTTTTTCGAAGTCGATTAAAAAGTAGATAAAAACAAATCAATGAAATTATTATATAATAACAACATCTACTTAAGTTCACATAAGAACTTTCATTATAACAACTACATAAATTGGGTTCATAATAATTACGTTTCACAAAGCAGATCCTAAGTTATAATAACACCAATTTGTTTTCTCTCTCCTTTCTCTTTCTAAAATACGTTACCCCCACAGTAGGATTTTCTCCAGTATCGTGGAGGCATTTTACAAACATAAATTGCACAAGGACAAACATCCAGATCCGGAACAACTATTTGTAGGCCATACAAATATTTGTTCCGTGCGGGATTCAAACTCGCGGCCCCCAGCGCAGTCTCATTGCTAAGCCACTGCGACACGGAGCTCACAATTGCCGTTTGAGTTTATTTTATTATTCAAAAATGAGTCGCATTGGTAGGTACGCGATTGCGTCACTCGAGTGCGTATGTCCCTTTCGCACGTGATTTCGGCTCAGATAGCATGCATTTTTACCCCGCCCACCACTTAGTTCATGCCATCGACTAGGGCCACCTTAAGTTAAATGCTCATACCAATAACCTCGCAGTTTTCTCTCAGGACAACCTTTAAACTACGAGTTGTTACAAGATGTGCTTGCAAATGCGTGTGAGTCGGACCTGGACATATCGGATGAGAAGACAGAATCGGCTGTCAATGTACCTCGGCTACTAGATGATGAAGGTGATATACCCTCAGAGATTCCACTAGGTAACCATAACAGCGACAGTGACTCAGATCAAAATATGACTTTGACAGAGCTACAGTACAGAAATCAGGAGAACTTACCCCCACCTGCAAACTCCTGCCACCTCGAAATGCCTAATAGTCATCAGGCACAAAAAAAACCTAGAATCAGAAAAGTTATTACTTATATTGATGTGGAGCATAATTTTCCTTCTCAACTGGAACCCTCTGAAATGCTGCAATATCTTTCTATATATTTCAATGAAGATTTTGTTCAAAAACATCGCACACTGCACAATTTTGTACTACCTGCGTAAAACTGGTTCAGCTTAAGCACAACCTCTCATGAGATGTGCAAATTATTTGGTATACTTTTATTGGTGGGCTGTATATCATACCCATGAATTAATATTATGTACTGGCGTACAGGTATGCGCCTGGAAATAATCACTAGTCAAATCCCAAGATTTCTTATTAAGGAATAACATGCACGTAGTACCCACAGATAAACCACCTTCAGGAAATTCAAATCCGCTGTGGAAGGTACAGCCCATTCTCGACGCTGTTAAGAAGGATTGCTTGTCACTCAAAAGGCAGTTGAATAATCAATCGATGAACATATTATACCTTTCACCGGGAAACATAAATTGCAAGTCTTAGTAAAGAATAAACCGAGACCACTCGGATTAAAAAACTACAACATTACAACAAGTGACGGGTTAATTTTAGTTCGGTTCGGTTTTATTTACTATACTACCATTTAAGAAATTAATTACCATTTAAGAAAAAAATAATTAAGTATTGATTTTTTGTTGTCTAGACTGACTTTTTATTTTGAAGATAATATTACTTAAGATAATAATTATTATATTTTTGTTCATTATATAAAAGAGACTGGTTTATGTAGACTTAGTAATTTATGTGTAAAAAGACCAAAATTTCATTGAAATAGAAGTTAATAACAAAAGACTGTGTTATAAAAAGTAATACTTTCTTTAATAATAATTGAATAAATATATTAGAAATTCTTTTTTACAGTTTTATTCCCTATGCACGATCGTGTGTTAGCACACTTAAGACGAGGCATTACGCCAAACGCATGTTTTATAATGCCTCAAAGTATATGATCCACTGCAGTAAACAAACCCAGAAAAATATATGATATTGTCCAGGATATATGCTACTTAGATAGTGTGTTGAAAACATGATACCACTAATTTAACACGATAGAAAAAAAATCACAAACATACCTCTAAAAATTTCTTTTAACAAGTAAAATCCATACTAGTATACATGCAATCATTCTGATTTTTTGTCAGATTTTTATACATTCAAGATATTAACGTTATAGTGTTTTAATTTTTTAGTCCAACTAATAGTTTTTTTTTAAATCGCATATTCTTATTTCTGAAATAATACGTAAGGATGTTTGCGTAAACGCCTGTGCAGAGTCACTGCCGGCCGAGGCCTGGTCCTGTAGAGACGTGTCGCTCTTTTTGCCGCAGTATTTACGTTAAGATTTTTTAAGGACGCGTTTACAAAATTGATATAGGTATAGAATCGAACTATTACATTGACATGAGTCACGCACACAAGTGTACGCACGGTTGGCTGCGGGAATCGTAGTCAAATAAAATTATTTTGATAATTTGAAAGATCGAATTTATTTTTGATTTCTTATACCTCAAAAATATACTTAGATAATTAGAGTTATTAGACTTAGATACGAAATACGAATACCTCACTCTAGAGACAGCTTGACACTGGGAGCCCTCTACTGGCAGTGAGATGTTAGCTGTGGACTTTGAGCTGGTTTTGTCAGTTATGATAAGACCCTACCTCCGGACTTGATGGAGTGACCTAAAGGTGAACTTCAGTAACTAATACTGGAACACCTGGACTAGTAGAACTAGGTGTGCCGGGTTTGGGCTCGTTTTGTTAGATATAATCAGTCCTTACCTCCGGACTTGACGGAGTGACCCGAAGGTATACTTTGGTAATCGGTATTGGAACTAGTCGCCGAGTACTACGAGTACTAGGTGTGCCGAGTTTGGGCTCGTTTTGTTAGGTATAATGAGTCCTTACCTCCGGACTTGACGGAGTGACCTGAAGGTGTACTTTAGTAATCGCTATTGGAACTGGTCGCCGAGTACTACTAGGTGTACCGAGTTTGGGCTCGTTTTGTTAGGTATGATCAGTTTTTACCTTAGGACTTGAAGGAGTGACCTGAAGGTGTACTTTAGTAATCGCTGTTGGAACTGGTCCCCGAGTTCTACTAGATGTGCCGAGTTTGGGCTCGTTTTGTTGGGTACGACGAGTCCTTACCTCCGGACTTGACGGAGAGTTAACGGCCTCGGCACACCTAGTTCTACTAGTCCAGGTGTTCCAATATTGGTTACTGAAGTTCACCTTCAGGTCACTCCATCAAGTCCGAAGGTAAGGACTCATCATACCTAACAAAAGAAGCCCAAATTCGGCGCACCTAGTAGTACTCGGCGACCAGTTCCAATAACGATTACTAAAGTACACCTTTAGGTCACTCCGTCAAGTCCGGAGGTAAGAACTCATCATACCTAACAAAACGAGCCCAAATTCGGCACACTTAGTAGTACTCGGCGACCAGTTCCAATAGCTATTACTAAAGAACACCTTTAGGTCACTCCGTCAAGTCCGGAGGTAAAGACTCATCATACCTAACAAAACGAGCCCAAACTCGGCACACCTAGTAGTACTAGGCGACCAGTTCCAATAGCGATTACTAAAGTACACCTTTAGGTCACTCCGTCAAGTCCGGAGGTAAGGACTCATCATACCTAATAAAACGAGCCCAAACTCGGCACACCTAGTAGTACTAGGTGACAAGTTCCAATAGCGATTACAAAAGTACACCTTCAGGTTACTCCGTCAAGTCTGGAGGTAATAATTCATCATACCTAATAAAAAGAGCCCAAACTCGGCACACCTAGTAGTACACGGCGACCGGTTCCAATAGCGATTACTAAAGTACACCTTTAGGTCACTCCGTCAAGTCCGGAGGTAAGAACTCATCATACCTAACAAAACGAGCCCAAATTCGGCACACTTAGTAGTACTCGGCGACCAGTTCCAATAGCTATTACTAAAGAACACCTTTAGGTCACTCCGTCAAGTCCGGAGGTAAAGACTCATCATACCTAACAAAACGAGCCCAAACTCGGCACACCTAGTAGTACTAGGCGACCAGTTCCAATAGCGATTACTAAAGTACACCTTTAGGTCACTCCGTCAAGTCCGGAGGTAAGGACTCATCATACCTAATAAAACGAGCCCAAACTCGGCACACCTAGTAGTACTAGGTGACAAGTTCCAATAGCGATTACAAAAGTACACCTTCAGGTTACTCCGTCAAGTCTGGAGGTAATAATTCATCATACCTAATAAAAAGAGCCCAAACTCGGCACACCTAGTAGTACTCGGCGACCGGTTCCAATAGCGATTACTAAAGTACACCTTTAGGTCACTCCGTCAAGTCCGGAGGTAAGAACTCATCATACCTAACAAAACGAGCCCAAATTCGGCACACTTAGTAGTACTCGGCGACCAGTTCCAATAGCTATTACTAAAGAACACCTTTAGGTCACTCCGTCAAGTCCGGAGGTAAAGACTCATCATACCTAACAAAACGAGCCCAAACTCGGCACACCTAGTAGTACTAGGCGACCAGTTCCAATAGCGATTACTAAAGTACACCTTTAGGTCACTCCGTCAAGTCCGGAGGTAAGGACTCATCATACCTAATAAAACGAGCCCAAACTCGGCACACCTAGTAGTACTAGGTGACAAGTTCCAATAGCGATTACAAAAGTACACCTTCAGGTTACTCCGTCAAGTCTGGAGGTAATAATTCATCATACCTAATAAAAAGAGCCCAAACTCGGCACACCTAGTAGTACTCGGCGACCGGTTCCAATAGCGATTACTAAAGTACAGGTTACTCCGTCAAACCGGAGGTAAGGACTGATCATACCTAACAAAACGAACCCAAACTCGGCACACCTAGTAGTACTAGGCGACCAGTTCCAATAGCGATTACAAAAGTACACCTTCAGGTCACTCCATCAAGTCCGGAGGTAAGGTAATGCAAAACAGTCAAACAAATTTGAATTTCATTCAAGTGGTTTTATTTGAAACTATTCTTTTTCTCTTATTTTTGCTATTTTGCCGACGAAACTTGGGTTTTTTTAGAATTTGTGAGTTGGCGTTTTAAATGTATATGCATGTAAATAGTTGACTAAGTACCTGCTCATATAATTAAACTGACTTAATAAAATATTGATAGTTAAAATGTAGTATGATATCCATACTCCAGACCTCGTAAATTAGTGAGTAGGTACTCTAAATATTATTTCTATAATACCTAGTAGTGTTGCGAACAGGAGGCCTCAGGGAAAAGTTTTTGTTTGTAGGTGAATTGTCTGCTTACTTTGCGCATCGCATACTGTGTTCACGCTGCGCTCTCCGACTGCCGGTTTCGCTCCGCCCACTGCGGGACGCGCGGGTGAAAAACGAATTTGAAATCGTGCTAAGACGTAGTCTTAAAAACGAGAGCGCACGTACGTGCGGGGGGGGCTACAGCGGAAAGAGGGGGATTTTTTTTATTATTTTTCTAAATACTATATCTATTGTATATCTAGAATATAATGTAAAATTTTTGAAAAGTGGGAGAATTTTTCGTCGTTCTGAAAGGGATAAAAAATTGTCGCAACAGCAAAATAACGTAAGATAATAAGGACTAAATACTGTATGTAAATATAGGTTTTAGAGGTTAAAATAAGAAAATAATGTTTAATTAGTGAGTATGAATGCACATTGGAGCACACTGTTCATTAGATAGTTAGTCTCATATTCTTAATCTTTCAATTTAAATTTGGTTTCTATAGGTCCTAAAATGGCGACAATTTGCTAAACAGCCCTAACGATATTTCGTGGATCTTACAGTCTTAGTAGCTGTAATATGTATGTTATGGATTCTATCATGCAGCCATTAATTATTAATCAGTTTTTAAAACACCACATATAATTGTCTTTAGAGATACGTGTAAAAGATGAAAAACCTTTGTCTTAGGTACAACACTTTTATCCCTTCTTGACTTTATCTATTTAAAATAATAATATTTTAAAATGTAAGCCCATTGTAATAATTTTATTATTTTATTTTGTGTACAAGGACAAAAAAACGTGTACTTCTTTCACTTCTTTTAAGAATGCCGAATGAATTTAAAATTCTTTTAAATATGCTTTTAAAAGCCGATACCACAGACTCGGCTCCACGCCGTGGTAGCGGCGTAAAATATACTACCCCATATTTCGCACCATGAGGAACCATATAAAAGAAATGGCCCCGAGTTCCCGGCGCCCCTTTAATGGGGCAGGGGTGCGAAGAATCTCCGGGAGGAAAACCGGCGACGAGGTTCGCCACCCGTCACGTTCTGTCTCCCGGAGAGGCGAAAATTGGATTGCAGAGGCCAGTCTGGCTACGTTGAATGTATGTGGGGCAATGAATGATAAAATGGATGAAGTATGCGATATGATGTATGATAGAGAAATAGATGTGTTATGTGTAAATGAGACGAAAAGGAAGGGGAAGGATGTCACTACACATGGCATGTATACCGTATACTGGTCTGGTGTAGACGAGATCGAGCGGGCATGCCAGGGAGTAGGTATCATCCTTTCAGAAAGAATGGGCCAATGTGTGAAAGAGTATGAATGTGTAAGCCCAAGACTGCTATGGATACGAATGAAAGTGGGCTTAAAGAAGTTGTTTGTGTTAGGGGTCTACGCCCCAGACATGTCTAAGCCCACTTATATCCGAGAGCAGTTTTGGGAAATGGTAAGGATGGTGTTAATGAAGTGTAAAGGAAATGAAAATATTATTATGCTAGGAGATTTTAATGGAAGGGTTGGGGTGAGGAGGCTTGGTTATGAAAGGATATTGGGAACGTTTGGTGATGAAAGTATAAATGAGAATGGTGAAAGTCTCCTCACCGTATGTATGGAAAAGAATCTTTTTGTGACGAACACTTGCTTTCGCCACAAGAGGATTCACATGTATACTTGGGAAAGAGGTGACGATAGAAGCATGATAGATTTCATAATTGTGGATGAAAGATTGAGGGGCGCAGTGGTAGATACAAGGGTTTACCGGGGTTCTAACGTAGGAACGGATCATTATTTGGTTTTATGCCGAATTAATGGTCTATTCAGGCGTTGTCGCCATCGATCATCTGTGTCTACCACTGCGTTACAGCGTATTAGAACAGAAAGGTTACAAGATGAAGGTGAGAAAAACAAAGTCAAAAGTAGACTGAAAGAAAATATAAGTGGTTTGGATGAATTATGTATGAAGGAGTTAGACTTGGAGAATGTATGGCAAAAAAAAACAGAAAGTGTGTTAGTAAGAGAAAGAATGAAAGGAAAAATAATACGTTATGGTGGGATGATGAGATACGTATGGATGTTGAAGCAAAGAAGAGAGCATGGCTAGATTTACTAGCAACAAAGGCTGGTAATTCTAGCGGTACGAATGATGCTATTGAAAGAAAAAAGGCAGTCTTTAGACATCTTAATAAGAGAGTAAAAGAAGTAGTTGAAAGAAAAAAGCAAGAAAGAACGGATAAGAATGATAGAAGAATATCGGATAACTTTCAGGCAAATATTAAAATATTCTGGAAACTTGTAAGAACTGCCAGGGGATATTCAAAACAGCCTATGATGAATGCTATAAGAGACGAGAATGGCTATATTCTGAATGATGAAGTTTTGAGTTTAAAGAGATGGAAGGAATATTTTGAAAGCGTGTTTATGAGTGAGGAGACAACGTGTGTACTAAGTGAAGTAGAAACTCCGAAAGAAGAGGAAAGAGGTAGCGAGATAAGTATAGATGAAATAATGAAAGCAATGAAAAGCATGAAAGCAGGTAAGGCTGCCGGATATGATAGAGTTTCACTCGAATTGCTAAGGGCTGGAGAGGAAGTCGTGGCGGGCCTGCTGCACACCTTGTTTAATTTATGCTGGGAACTGAAGCGGGTACCGGTAGACTGGTGCAAAGCCGTGATAGTCCCAATATATAAGGGAAAAGGGTCGCAGCAGGACTGTAAAAACTACCGTGGCATCAGCCTTCTTAGCTTGTGGGAAAACTGTATGCTAAGGTACTGATTGAAAAGGTCATGAAAGAAACTGATGGAAAAATTTGGGATGTGCAAGCGGGATTTAGAAAGGGAATGGGATATACAGATCAAGTCTTTTCGACGCGCATGATCGCGGAGAAGTTTTTGGCCTAAAACCAAAAGGTTTTATGTGCGTTCATGGACTTGGAAAAGGCCTATGACAGAGTGGATAGGGATGTGCTATGGCAAACACTGAACTCATTTGGGTTGAGCGCTGGCTTGATACAGGCATTGGAGTCTCTTTATAGGGACTCTAGTGCTTGTGTTAGGATCAACGGGGTCTACTCGGACTGGTTTGACATCCATAAAGGTGTCAGACAGGGCTGTGTGGCTTCCCCGTGGCTGTTCAACCTATTTATGGACAGTTGTTTGCAAAATTTGAAAGTTGCAGAATGCGGTTTAAGAATGGGTGAGTTAACCGTCAAATGCCTTTTGTACGCCGATGATCAAGTTATCCTTGCGTCGTCGGCGGCCGAGTTGCAAATGATGGTTACATTAATGAATAGATCATTAAAAGAAAGGGGTATGAAAGTGAACGCAAATAAGACGAAGGTTATGGTTTTTGAAAGAGAAGAAAGTAAAACGATTTGTGAAATAAGAATAGAAGGGGAGTTGATCAAGCAAGTAGATGAGTTTGTATATTTGGGCTGCGTATTTAGTAGGGATGGGAGATATGATAAGGATATAGAATGACGAGTGAATGCGGGAAATAGAGTAAATGGGGCCCTGCACTCAATTGTGAAGAGTCAAAATGTGTCAAAAAAGGCACGTATGGCATTTCACAATGCTGTGTTGGTCCCTACTTTAACGTACGGTAGTGAAAGTTGGGTGTGGCAGAAGAAGCACGAGAGTATAATCAACGCAGTAGAAATGCGGTCGTTAAGGAGTGTGTTAGGGCTGAATCTGAACGACAGGGTAAGAAATTGTGTAATAAGAGAAGAGTGTGGTTTGCAAGATAATGTTGTGACCAGGATTAAGAAAGGAATGCTTCGGTGGTTTGGTCATGTGGAAAGAATGAATGAGGAAAGAGTGACAAAGAAAATTTATGTTGCAGAAGTGAATGGCAGATTCGGAAAGGGACGTCCTAGACGAAAATTTATCGACCAAATTGGCGATTTATTGAAAACGGGCCAAATTAGGAGTACCCTTAACCGACGACCATGTATGCGTAGGTGTATGGATGTGAAGGAGGCGAGAGAGGTGTGTCAGGATCATGCCAAATGGAAGTCTGTAGTCTCTGCCTACCCCTCTGGGTGACAGGCGTGAGTGTTTATCTATTTTTATGTATGTTCTTTTAAGACGGAGACTATATAAAGCCATACTATTAAAGAACAAAGAGGTGATGGCTATAGATCTGTAATTATATGGATCAGAGCCGTTACCTGTTTTAGGGATCTGGTGCACGAAGGCTGTCTGCCATGATTTCCATTTGCCATGAGGTAGAAAAATGTATGTCTTTAGACAGTTGGACCACTTCACGGTATCGTGTGAAAAGGCTATCAAGATCGTCATTGGAAGAAGCAGAAAAAGAACTAGATAGTATGCTTAACAGAAGCGAAACCGACATTGATGATGAGAGAAAAGGACAAAATACTACAGTTACAAGTAACAGCAACTATAAAAGCAATGTTTAATGTTTTAGCCACAGAAACCTTTTTGTTAGACGTCGATAGGATTGACGCTTGACTGTGGGTTGTCTGATTTATTAAAGATTTTCCATATTCTTTAGTAACATTATTATTTCAGTGATAATTCGTGATATTTAAATATTCCTTTTTAATCCTTCTTCCGCACCAAATCTTTTCTTTTTTTCTCCACATATTGATAACAAATTAATTTGTTCACCGCATGCATATTTTTTGTTGCGTGCACTTTAACTTATTATCTACACAACACACACTCAATTACATACACATACAATTTAATTACTTACAAGCTAACTAGAATGATATACATACGAACTTTTTTCAAAAATTTCAAATATCTTATAAAATATATACAGCTTACCACGTTTTTACATACCATGATATTATCTATATTACTTGCAAGCATAACTATGCTATACTTTAATATAATATATTGTTATTCACAACTTTATAATAGTGTCTTGCCTTATTCCCTAGAATGTAGAATTACCAAAACGAGCAAAAGTAATATAACGACTTATTTATACAGCACGAACGTTCCTTATGCTCTTAGTGATAAGTATAAAAACTTACCAACGAAATACTTGTCAACGAAATTCTTTATTTTCCGATCAATTCAAGTGCGACATCTTATTATTAAAAATAGTAAAAGGCGCTAACTTAAATGATATCTCTATTGAAATTGATTCACTTTCAGTAGCGAATGTTTATAGCTGCACGCCGGATAAATGTCTTGATTTTGTAACTAAACCAAATCTTGCGCTAAAAATAATTCATCAAAACATTCGTAGTATCAACAAAAATTTTCATGAATTTATCTCTATGATGAGCATGACTCAGGTGAACATGAATATTTTGGTCTTTACCGAGTGTTGGCTTAAATCTGCTGTAACAACTCCTCATCTTGATGGTTTCGCGTCTTTGGCCACCCGTAATAATCCTATACAAAATGATGGAGTCGTTGTTTATGCAAGGCTAGATCTTAACTGTAAAATATACGAGCCAATCCTTAGTGAAGCAAATTGCCTTGTGTGTTACACCAATGACACGGCTGTTATATGTATTTACCGTTCTCCATCATACGCAGACATCAACATTTTCTTGAACAGCCTGGAAAACTTGATATCCACGTTGAGCTCCTATAACGATATAGTTTTAATGGGAGATATTAACATTGACGTTAAGGATGATAATCATGATAAACGCTCCCATGAATACCTAAATTCTCTAGCCATGCTAGGTTTTTTACCAGCTCATAATAAGCCGACTCGTTTAGAAAACTGTCTCGATCATATTTTGCTGAAAACCAAGCTGGATGCATGTGTTATAATTCTTGAAACTGCAATAACTGACCATGTACCTACTCTTCTGCTACTATATAAAAAGCATAAATGGAAACATCATGCCGCGAAAACCAAAAAATATTTAAACTTTGTGGAAATCAAACGCGAATTAGATAATTACGACTTTGAAGTCGTTTTGAAAGAATCAGATCCTAATATTGCAACTAATATATTTATAGATATCGTGGGCTGTATTATAAAGAAACATTCCTCAGTTAAAACCATTTCAAGAAAATTTCGTACAGTCAAACCCTGGATGACACCCGGTCTCATCCGATGCATCCGAAATCGTGATTCTTTGCACATAAAGGCTAGAAAGTTGCAGGACAATATCACCATACAAATTACATATAAAAGATATCGTAACTTTCTACAAACTTTATTGAGAAAAGTTAGGTCAGAATATGAAAGATGTGAATACCTTAAGGCAAAAAACAATATCAAAGAAACATGGAACGTCATTAAAAATATTACGAACACAAAAAAGATTAAAGAGTCTGCTAAAGATCTTCTAAGTTGTCACGGTAGCACTAAGGCGACGTTAAATGCTATAAACTCACATTTCGTTCAAGTCGGCAAAAAGTTGGCTTCCAAAATATCATGGTCCTTAGATGGTTCTCCTCCCATGTCACCTTCATCTAACAATAGCACATTTGTACTATTACCTGTTGATGAGCTACAAGTAGAAAATATCATAAACTCTCTGAGGAATAATTGCGCCGTTGGATGGGACGGAATACAATCTGACGTTATTAAATTATCATGCAAAGCGTTAACCTCACCTATAACGCACATTTGTAATACCTCAATTTCAACTGGGGTATTCCCTGACCTGATGAAGAAAGCTGTAGTCCATCCTATATTTAAATGTGGGGATAGGCATCAAGTTACCAACTATAGACCAATATCGGTTCTCAGTTCTCTATCTAAAATTCTAGAACGCATTCTTAATAATTCTTTGACTGATTTTCTTAAGAGATTCAACATCATTGCCGAGAACCAGTTCGGTTTTAGACCTGGTGTTTCTACCGAAGACGCTGTAATTGAACTTTCCCAAACAATAACTGCTAAGCTAGATGAGAAACAAAAATGCTATGGCATTTTCCTTGACCTCTCTAAAGCGTTCGATACCGTGTCTATCCCCATACTGATTTCTAAATTGGAATGTATCGGCATTCGTGGTCTGCCCCTTAGTATTTTCAGAAATTATCTCACTGGAAGGACCCAATGCGTAAAAATTGATGATAACTACAGCGACGAGGAGCATATAGAGTTTGGCGTGCCCCAGGGCAGCATTCTGGGCCCCACGTTCTTTTTAATCTACATCAATGATCTGTGTAGAATTAAGCTAGATAATTGTCGGATCTTCACCTATGCTGACGACACGTCCTTAGTAGTTTGGGGTGTAGATTGGATTCGTGCCAAACATTATGCAGAAAAAGCTATAGTAGAAGTTATGCTTTGGTTATCATCAAATTTACTGACCCTCAATATCGCAAAGACACAACTTATACGCTTTGATCTATCTAAGACTGCGCCAATCTCTGAAAATGTCAATTCTATCAAGGCCCATCAGTGTTCATTGCAAGACGCAGATTGCAATTGTGTCTCACTCTCTGCCAAGCCCCAAACTAAATATCTAGGCATCTATATTGACGAAAAACTTAGTTGGTATGAACATGTTAACGCGCTTTGCAATAGGATCAGAAGGTTAATTTATATATTTAAGAATCTTCGCCACTCTGCAAATTTGGATACCTTGAAAATGGTTTACACGTGCCTTTGCCAATCCATTTTAATGTACTGCATACCAGTTTGGGGCGGTACCCATAAAACTACAATGCTACACCTTGAGAGGGCACAAAGAGCAGTGCTCAAGGTTATGATGAACAAACATAGGATGCACCCTACTGTTGACCTCTACAAAGAGTGTAATGTTTTAACAGTGAGGCAATTGTTTGTTCTTCGCACAATGCTTCGGAAACATTCACAACTTCCTCTAGACTCTAATATCCTTAAGCGACGTATAAGTATCCCTGTGTGTCCAGTACCTTTATGTAGAACAGCTTTCGCAGGACGTCAGTATAATTCAATCAGTTGTCGTTTATACAATAAGATTAATAAGTCGTTAAATATATACAAAATTAACAAACATGAATTAAAATCTAAAATATCAATTTGGTTAAAGTCTCTCACATACGAAGATACGGAAAATCTCGTCAAGAAATAGGCACCACACATATACAATAAACATACATAAATTATTATTATGTATGTCAAAATCATTACCTCATAATCACTCAACTCACACAACACAAACACACACACACACACACACACACAACAACACAACCACACACACACACACACACACACACACACACACACACACACACACACACACACACACACACACACACACACACACACACACGCACGACACACACACTCGCACGCACACACGCACGCGTGTATTTTTTTTTCTTGTGTATTTCATATTTGTAAAATATATATATTTTGTAAACTTGATAGTAAACTGTTATCTTTATCAGTTAAAATTATTGAATACTGCTCTGTACTTAAATCCTTGTACTATGTTTTGGGAGAAGACCCTGACATTTAAGATACAGGCTTTGCCTAGTTTAGATGTCAGTAGCTTCATATTAATTGTAGAAGTACTTAACTGTAAGCTTAATTTTGTTATACTGTTGTTATCGAGTGTACTTTAACTTAAAATTGCAATAAAGATTATTATTATATTATTATTATTATTATTATTATGCAAAATGGCGATATTCTATCACTTATACAGACTTAATCTGTACTATAGCTGTTATTTTTTTTAGTTTCATATCACTCTCATAGACAGAAGTTATAAAACTATTATATTTACAAGAGTGTACAATTACACCATAAAAATTAGTTTTAGAAGGGAGTTTGCATACACCATTGTTCAGAAATAATATTTGAATTATACTATAAAAACACTTGGAGCTGCATATGTATATTTATGTTCATAACGCTTGTGTTGTGTGCTGCATGGGATATATAGCGAATTAGTTCGAGTTGAATTTTTAAGAGGCGCTAGTAGTTCAATTTCGTCTGCAATAAAATATCGTCAGAAGTATGGAGTGTAGAAGTAAGGAGTACCAACTCCCATAGTAGAATAGTTGAAAAAGTAACCATTTGTAGCAGTAAATAACAGTTCAAAAACTCTTCATAACAGCGCTGGAGTAGCTACTGGGATGAAATGAACTTAGCAGTTGTCGGCGGTTTAAGTGTGCTGCTAAACTGCTCAGTAGCTCTAAAATCTAAAATAATTTTATTTAGTGAGTATAACCTCGAAAAAGTCGTCTATCCCACTAATATTTTTCGGTGCGTTCTTTAAAATTTACCCCGTAATTATAGTGGCGCCACCCATATTTAACGGTTTTCTATGGACAAATTTTAATACACTTCCTGTATGGATTTTCGATATATCTGATCTGATCAGGTGATGGTCAGATCAACTGATGTGGAACAGAAACAGAAACTTATATTTATTTAATATTGATTATAAATAATACTTTTTAAAAGTTACTCTTTTATTTAATTACTGGTAATTATTGGTTCGGAAAAAGCCCTCTGTCCTGGGAAGAACCAGCAAGAAACCCAGCGGGACATTTTTTTAAAATAACGGTTTACAATCATATTTGTTACATAAATATTCAACACAAAACAAGTTAGGGCCGTGGTGCAACCACAATATGGAATGGGTCGGCTCGACCGGGGTAGGACCACTTTCTCACAGAATGCCAGCGTAAATATATATATATATATATATATATATATATATATATATATATATATATATATATATATATATATAACAGCTTTAGTGTGTTATGGTGAGAAAAAAACAGAAACGAGGCATTCCATTTCAGTCCTCAGGGCTGGTAACGTATCTGTATTTTGATTCTTAATTCAAGAAAAATTTAGATGTCTATGGGCCGCAGCATCCACTCACCATCAGGGTCCACTGTGTGTGTGTGTGTGTGTGTGTGTGTGTGTGTGTGTGCTCGTTTGTCACCCTTATTCTATAAAAAATAATAGAAATAGCTTCATCACCTCATTCCCAAAGGTTATATAAAATCCTTGATATTATAATAACCCCTTTTAAAGAAACTTAGTCTAAAAATAAATTAAATAGACCATATGATTTAAACCATGATCTAAATTTAACATTGTAAAGCTTTGCTAGTCTATAAGACCGGGGATTGCTGTACCAGACTTCTTGCACCTTAAACTGCTTCTCGTCGCTGGTCTGTGGTATTCAATATCTGACTTAATTGAATGGTTGTACCGTCATTTATAGCAAGTATAAAGGTACTCTGTGATAGCCTTGAGATCGCTATGGCATTCTTCATAAATAATATAATAATCTTACTACTTACGTAATAGCTTAGGTCGCCTTTTACAACACCCATATGGCGAAATAGGTTGAGGATGAGGGATTCTCTTACGTCGTCAGTCGTCCCCAAACGGCCCAATTATGTCTATAGTGACAAATAATCTTATAATTTTATAAATTTTTAATGTAGGTAGTCCATGCTAGCCTGGTAATTTAATGAAATTATTTGACGGTTATCGTTGAATTACCCTTTTTGATACGGTACTGTTTCTTTACTCACTGACAGCGCACTGAATACAACTAGTACGAGTAAAATTTATTTCTTCATTTTACATTATCAATTTATGTGCAAATTATGGAAGAAAATCAAAATAGCAAGAAAAGTAAGATAGCAAAATTCCAAAGAAGATACTATTGTACAATTTGCAAAATATGTACCAATTCTGACAATCAATTCAATCAACACTTAGAAGGTATTCGTCATCAACATAAAAACATAATGTGTAATGTACATAAAAATAAAAAACAAGATAATAATAATCCAGAATACTATGATTGCGATATGCACGTTTACGTACCGGCCTTTATTTTTATTTTTATAACAACGTATTTCTTTTGTTATGTAATTGTTAAAATAAGTGCATAATGTTAGACAAATTAACATAATTCATGGTCATTAAAACTACCTTAAATTTCGCGCCACAATTTTAATTGGCGGAGAAGTCGTTCCCAAGCGTTCACGGCTTCTATGCGCACGAACGAACGCGCAGAACAATGAGGATAGCAATATAGCAGCCATTTTATGTCGGTGTCTAAGAAAAACATAATTCGAATGGCCAATCTTAACGAAATTGTGTAATTAGTGTTCTAATTTATGTGTTTCTGAACACTCCACCATTATTTGGTATTTCCTTACTTATGTAAGTAGATTTAAAGTTTTGCTATTTATAATAATTCTAAGGCAATAAGCGTAATGAAATTTAACATTTTGCATTTAACATTAATTGAATAAGTAATTAAAAATAATAAATATTAAACGAATTATCATCATAAAGTATAAAAAGTATTTGTATGTTCAAATTCAAAGGTTATAATACATATTTGTTAGCGTTGTTTGTTTACCGAAATATAATATAACAGAACGATTACAAACACCTACGTTCCGTACATTTATGCTTAGAATATGACATAACGTTTATTACTAACTCTTATTAAAACTAAAATTTAGCATTGTTTACATAAATCATATTGGTTACTGATCATTAATTGGTTCCTTAACAACCGGCGTCGCGCAGCCTCGGCCTGAAAAGTTTACGACAAAATTCAATACCTAACGAATTGGCCATTTTATTGATGCCCGAGAGGAGGCTGGGTGGAGACGGTCAGAAAGTACATAAAACTTCTGAATTATTTTTCTTACAGTGATATAGGATACACACCTTTCATTTGAATGATCAATTTATTTATAAAAATAAATTGTACACATTCACAGAAATCAATAAAACTTAAATAGCACCCTGCTAAATCATTTTTGTCCATCCAAGTTACTAGTAGTAGTAGATTTTGTTGTAAACAATAATAATGGAAAATAGTAAACAATAGTCAAATAACTTTTATTTATAACGAAATTTCTATGTATAAATTTAAATGATCTTGTTACTTATGAGGCCAAAAAGGAACATATGTAACACAAAAAAAAAATGTAAACTTTAATGGTATGTTTTATTAATATTAACGTACTGTTATTCTACTTTGGAGTGTAGCTTTTGGGCTAAAGATGAATCGTCTATGTATACAATGGTTCTAGAAATAAAATATGTAAGCACACATAGACCATGGTCTAAAATTACACATAGTAAAGTAAATTTAATTGATAACATAGTGAAATGATGGTTATGTTATTACAAACATTTGAAGGCATTGCTCATAAAAATCAACATCAATTTAAGAAATGCTTAAAATTGCTCTTTCTCTCTTTTCACAAATAACTATAGTAAGAGATAGATGATGAATAAAATTTAACTTAAGTAAGTGATAATTTGATGATTATTAAGTAAGACCATCAATTTTTATGTTAAGCATTCAGTTTATTCTGTATTTATAATTCTTGGCAGTGCTATATGATTTCCAGGTATTCTTATGTCTATGAGTTTGTAGGTACAATGTATACAGGAATATTGGTCAAGTACTGGTAAAATTCTTGACAAATTTTTAGACCAAAAAGGTTTTTATCCAATAATATGGTTAAGAAAGAGAAGCACATTTTCTGTTTGGGAATTTGGAATGTGATAAAGATGTAACTTTATAATTAAATAAGTTTATTATGACATTTTGATCTTACAATAATTTTGAAAATATACATTGAATCATATTAAGAAACATGTTTGGAATAAACCTATGTATTACCTCTGAGTTATTTAAATCAGCTTATTTAAAAATATTATAATTGTGTGTAAACAAAATAATGTATTATGAAACCACTAAAAACAGGTTAAGAATATAAACTGTAAAAAGATACTCTATGTGTGATATGGATAAATAAAAATATATCTACAAATTTTAAACTATTTGTATACCTACTGCACCAAATCTAAGAAATACCTTTTGACTAGGCATTCCAATTGGAAAATTGGTACCTACAATATTCAATTCTTAAGAGATGTCAATATCATTTGTATGTGGTAGAGCCATGCTGCAGCTATATTATAGTTGTAGCACAAATGGGTCAGCTCAACTGGGCCAGGACCATGCTCTTACACACAGATTACCTCCTAATAGATACCGCATCATGGAATATTTGTTCTGTTTCGATTTCACCAAATTGTGAGTTGCGGGGGACGTGTTAAATGCGCTGTGATTTGATAATTCAAGGTTGAACTTATAATGCTCCGAACCATAGTGATGGGACAGGGTTGGGATGTTGGAAAAGAATATATATATATATATATATATATATATATATATATATATATATATATATATATATGTGTGTGTGTACATGTAATCTAATGATTTCTTAAATTTACGCGAACACTACACTTTGAATAAAACTATATAATTATATGGATTTTATAGCGTTTAATTAACTTATGGTCACAGGGGGGAGGACTAGAAACTGAGATGTTTGACGTCTCAATATCATAGTTAGCCCGGCTATCTTCAGTTTTTGAATATTTATTTTTGGTCCCGATCTACATAAAATGAGCTTACAGTATCTTGAAGTCTTGCAGTGGTATGCTTGGGTTTGATAGATTTTGTTTAATATAGGATCCCAAGCAGATAGCAGCACCCATCCACCAACTGTGGCCGGCTTCAATCGGGTCGCTGTGACGTAGGCTTGGGACCCAAAGCTTGTTGTCTTGCAATATTTGCTTGACATGCTGAAGCTCGGCGGCCAGATGTATTCTGTCACAGATCCCTTGTGCTCTCTGAAACAAATATTTACCCACAGTAGCAAACTATAAAGAATGATGGTGAGGTTTCACCATTTAAATATCGGTTTGGTATAGGCCTTTTTCCTATACATAGTATGACCAATAGTGTTATCAGGATTTTGGATGACTAAAACATCTAGGAAAGCTAAAGTATTATTTGCTTCTAACTCCATTGTGATTTGTATTTTAAAGCTTATGAAGTTAAGGTGGTCTAAAAATGCAGTTGCTTTGTCAGGTGGTAAAGTTGTGAAAGTGTCGTCTACATACCGCTTGTAGAATCTTGGATTTATAGGAGCAGTAAGAAGGGTTTCTCCTCAAAGTCCATGTCGGGTCCATGTCCAAGTATTTGTCGGCGACTATAGGAAATACAGGTGAGCCCATCGCTACACCATCAACTTGCTTGTAGAACTCTTCATTCTACAATAGATAGCCAGATGTGAAGCAGTGTTTGAGTAATACTGCATATTCTGCAGGCATGTTGTTATCTTGTAGCTTCCTAGCTACAATTGAGAAGCAGTCTTCAATAGGTAGGCATGTGAATAGTGACTGAACACCAACACTGACCATAGTTTCATTGTCAGCGAGATGTAGGTCTTTTATCTCACTAACAAAATGGTGTGAATCCTTTGTGTGTGCTCTGGTATGTCCTTTCGGTGGTGACAATATTTTTGACAAGTGTTGTACCTAAAAGTAGTATTATTAATTAAAAAACCATTCGGTATGTGTTTCAAATTTAGATGTACTTAATAATAATAATAATAGGATATTACTGAAGTTCATGTAACACTAGAATAACAATAATCACATTTCACTTGTTTTATGGTTTTAAATTCGTTAAAAATAGTTTAATTTCGACGTGTAACATTCGCTTAAATATTAGAATATCACGTTTCAATCAACCACTTAATGCTATTACTTATTGTGTAATGATCACTGGTATTATATTTTTTTTAAAATGTAAAAGTCCTACTAAAACTGGCAAGTATAGAAATGGTTTAGCGGAATCCAACAGCCTTCTACGGTTTTTCGTAATATGAAGATTGTCTTCTGTCTTTTTTGTTGTGTCTTGAGCATAGCACACTATTTTTGGTGGGAAACCATTGGTCCCCTCGACAAGTAGCGTCGATCCACATCTTTTCCTTTCGGGGCATTTAGGAAACCTATAACATATAGGTACCACAATTATACACCACTATTTGTATAAAATAAAGACTACAAAAAAAAAGTAAACGATTTTTCTACATCACTTTGGCTTAATGATTGCTTATGTATTAATTGTATTTTCTACAAATCCTCCAGCGGATCCCAAATAGAAAATTATGAAATCCCCACCTTTTCCCATGGACACATGCCATCTGTCCATGTTTGCGGAACAGAGTGGTTGCCGTTTAGCCATGTTTAGTAATATTATTGTTTACATTGTCTAATTTGTTATACTTTTAATTTCTCGCTAAAATATTATTTTTTGCCAATTCCTTTTTAAATGTTTCTCAATGACTACTACCATTGTACAAGCCTGCGTATTCTAAACATTCTCGCAACTTTGCTGCAGTGGGATTCACAGAATTTATAAAAAATTAGACTTGTTTAATTTATGCAACTATAAAAATAAAAAACCGATAATAAATTAAAAAATGTAAAGGTTTGTTTATTTTTACCAATTATTCACATATGTATAAAAATAAGGTGCATAATGGCATATCATTGAAACAATGTCAAGCCTAAAAGTTGATTCTAGTTAAATATTTTATGTTTTGCTTCCTTTGAAAGATTGGAATTTAAATTAATGGTAATGAATTATACATATAACAAAATATAGATAACATCATAGTTTGTATTTATGTAAAAGGTTATTTTAAATAATATGAGTATGCTTACACAAAGTTATTGCCGAAAAGTGAATTGTCAAAAGGTATAGTCACTAGCCTATACCAATTGACGTTTACAACATACTAGTCTTAAAATATTCACAGTTATCACAACTATCACATATATCGCTTTTAGTTGCATTATAAGCATATTTCCAACAGTAATAAAGTTGAAATTACAATAAGCAGATCATTTAGATCTAAAATACTTTTAACATCATAATATTATATGAAAGCTTACTGTACTTTGAATTTCTTATATAATAATTGTACTTATAAATGCTATGCTAAGTCATTTACTTTGCTAGGAATGGATAGCTCATAACTTTTAGGAATCATATTCATCATTCTGCTAAGTTTACACTTAAATGTTTTGAATTGGACACAAACCAAAAAGAGATATTTCTCATGTCTTAGTATTCACAGGTCTGTTTTGCCACTTTAAAAAAGCTACCAAATATATCCTACCTATCAATCTAATCTGACCTATTTGGGGATGCAACTTTATGGAATAACATCCTCAGATTATAGAAAATAGCTAGATGAGGATACAGAACACTGACATTTACAGTGCATGGTAACTACATGACAACTCCACACAACCGTGGGTCAATGTGTGTCAGTTTGCCCTGATATCATATCAGTATCTTAATGGCCAATGATATGAATAATCAGTAGCTTAATATTAGGTTATCGACCATGAATTCAAAATTAAGTTTTTAAGCTAATCTGATGTGGTTAAAGAGAAAATAAACTATGTCACTAACATTACTAACATGTAAATAGAGTATGTAATCATTGTTTTATTATAGGGGGGATCAGTTCCACTGGAGAAAGATCACACTCACAGAATACGAAACACATTAAGCGTGAAATAGCATTAAGATGCTATTTCACGCTTAATGTGTTTTGTATGGTGAGTGTAGAGATCCGTAGACCCTTTTTTACTGGAAATGAGGCATTTCATCTTAGTCCTCAGGAGTGACAACGCATCTGCATTTTGATCAGGTGAACTGTGCTCGTTTATCACACTTATTCTATATTTAAAAAAAATATATATCCTTTTTAGTCCTCAGAGGTGACAACACATTAGTAGTAGTTCCCCCCCCCCCCCATCACTCCCTTAGCACCAATATAGCTGCAGCGTGGCTCTACCACATATATTGCCTCACAGCCTGTAATTATTCTGGCTCTATACTCTTCAGACAGGAACACAGCAATGAACGCACTCCTATTTGGCGGTAGAAATAGCTCAGAGTGTGGTTCCTACCTAGGATGGAGTTCTATGAGGAATGGGACTCTGTAACCAAGTGAAATTTCTTAGTTTACACTTTTTATTTCCGAATCTCATAAATAGATCCTTGATAGATGTTGCAGTTCTTTAGGAATCCTCTTGAATGTATTGATATTTTACAATACACCAAGTAATCTTGTTAACATCACAGTATTTTTTTTTTGTTTATTTTAGCTTAAAAGCATTCTTACATTTTGACAGTTTGATGGGATACTAAAGATAATATGACTAGTAAGAAGAGTTATTGAAAAACACCTGTTTAGGAATAGTAAAACATTAAGACGATATAAAATAATGTATTATTTCAAGAACTGTAACACAGCCAATATTTTTAAATTACCCGACAACAAGCAAAGTAGAATGAAGATGCCTGTTTAGTTGCCTACCTTCTACCAGGTGGTATGGTAATCAAGCACTGGCTTAGTACTTGAGTACAATACCACCGTGTAAGTGGTGATGTAGGCCTCGGTGGTAAATCGTAATATTTTAGTGTAGTAAAATAATATTTCTCTTGCCATAAAGATGCTCACACTGCATTACAAACAATGAAGCAAACTGTTTAATTCTAATAAGTGGAAAGCCCCAAAGAAATTGGGTTCAACATCATCAAAGACAACAATAGACCTTTTAGCACCCCTCTCCTCTCAGTTTAAAGCTACTGGGTATTTTATTAGAATAAGGGTGAAAAATGAGCACACAGTCCAACTGATGGTAAGTGGAAGCTGAGGCTCATATACATCTACATTTACTCTCAATTAAGAATCAAAATGCAGATGCGTTGTCATCCCTGAGGACTGAGATGGATTGCCTCGTTTCCTGTAAAAAGAGTCTCCAGTTCACTACACCCACCATACGAAACACAGCAGCATTAAGCTCCTATTTTATGCTGGTATTCTGTGAAACCGTGGCCTTACCCCAGTCGAGCCGACCAACTACACGCACTATCGGGCTTGTGCTTTGTAAATGCTACAAGCTATTCCAGCGAGGAATACTATTGTAACAATTTGTTTATAATATATTTTATTTTATTGGTTTTAGTAGGTGGAAGGTGTTGAATATGGGGAAGAAAGAACTGATTCACCATTAGTTTCCCAGCACATTGGGGCGTGGGCGTCGGGGGTGTGGCACGGGGCGTTGGGGTCCCCGTGCCGCCCCCCGGCGACCTACTCGCCACTATCTCCATGTTTGAACAACAGATCAAAGCTGAACCCATGAGGTAATTTTTGATTTTTTAATTACTCTTTTGAGGTTTTATATTTAACAAATATTCACGAAAAGGTTGATGAAAGCAGAAATGCGGTTATACCTGGGTTTATCCGGCTACAGCTAGGTGCCGCCGATCGCGGTTGGTTAAATATTGATGTTTAGATCTGCCCAATCTAATCAAACTAAGTCGGGCCGCTAGCCTTTTTGGGCTGACGGCCAGACCTAATTTTACAAGAATAAAACGAATACCGGCTAAACCCAACATCGCTAACCGCACTTTGACTTTGTGTTATAATATTTAATATACCATGCGTATAATATACACATACATACCCACAGTATATAGTAAAGTTAGTCTATAGACGTCCCACTACAGGGCACTAATTTTAAGGCAAAATTATTGATAAACCAGTTGAAATTTAGAATCGTTTGGCAGGAATTTGGAGGTGTAAGGTGTTTTGATTATAATAATACCATACACATTAAAAGGTAACGCACCATTCTTGAAAAAAAAAATCAAAAAGAAAATCCCATAGAACTAACCTCAAAATGAATTTAGGGAGTGGGAAGGAGGCGGGGGAGTGTAGAGACGCACTTCCACCTCCTGCTTAGTTTTTTTTTATAAATTTTTAAAAATCGCATTTTGAGGTTATGTCTTCGTAATGTTTTTGACTATAAACCTGATTTATGGGGGGAGAGAGTTGGGGGAGGGAAGCACCACGTAGCGCAGTCGAGTGAAGCCCGGTCGACGGAGCCCCGGGTACTTCTTCTGAGTGGTTTATAAAAAATAACCACGAAGGGGAAGGCGGGGGGGGGGGGGGACGCCATCCCCTTCTAACCTAACCTGTCCGAGTCGAGATGCCCTAAGTCTCGAGCTCGCTTTGGTCGATCTTACACTCAATAAAACACCAAAATATTAACTTTTGTAAAAAAGAATCCAGAGGGGTAGCGAAGTTGCCGAAAAACAGGCGGAGGCAGATAAAAACGTTAGAGAGCACATTCAAGCTAAAATAATAGACTGGAGAGCACGCATTGATGCAAGAAAAGCAACCAACGGCGAAATGCATAAAAATTAGTGTCATGCAATTTGACACTTGACAGAGAGTATAGACAGTAGAATGTGACACTAGTCTTACATCCTTCTCGCACTCACACAAAATTCTGTATGCTATCCAACTTTCAAAGTAATATTGCATGTTTTTCCATGTTTTACGCACTCTAGGTTATAATAGATTTTATTTATTTTTTTGATAACGGTGCATTACTTTTTAATGTGAGTGGTATTATTATAATCGGGGACCAAACCTCTACCAAATAAAACACCTTACCCTCCTTATCCTCCAAATTACTGCCAAACGATTCTAAATCCAACCCGATAAACCGGATCTGAAAAACTACAGAAACACACATTACGTGAATTAATAACTATAATTAAAATAAATTTAATAAATACTGTTTTTTTTTATAAAATATACAATCACGGATATTGCAGCTTTAATTATAATTCAATGTAACCACTCCATTAAAATGATAACTACATACTTAACCCCAATAATAAAGTTTATCTAAACATATGACAACTCTTTTTTAAATATCATATTTCAGATTTTTGTCGTATTTATAACTTTTTAAACAAACCTTATATTGCAGTTTCTACACTTCCCACTCACATGTGCACTCTGGTCCTACAATACTTCGGTCAGACTCGAGTCATGGCGTGCTAAATATGAATCAACACCAACATCACCAAGAAGACTCAAAAGATAGCCTCATAGTACAACAACAAGTACAACATCAACAAGAGCTGCTGGAACAGCACCAACAGCAACAGGATTTGCAACAAGATGATGAGGTTATTGCTTTTGTTGCATAAACTAACACTAGATTTTTTATTTGCTTTCTATTTTTGTACTATACCAGCTGGTACCCAGTACGTGCAGCCGCAGAAGAAATAATTGCGGAAATAACTTTTAAATTTGGGAGAGTTATATTGCTTAATTGGGAATGATACATTTATTAAAGTAGAATGATATATAACTTTTATATAAATTTGTCGATGTGATACGAGTGCCAACTATTGTGATTTAATAGTAACATTCCTATAACCTTCGTGCAAGTACAAGCAATAAGTTGATGAAGTTTTACCGCAATTTGATGAACAGTATGGGCAGCGCATAAAATTCAAACAAACAAACATTATTTTTTATATAACTACCTATTATGGTAACTGTAAGGAGCTTATAATGTTATGGATGCTTCTTTAATTTTGAAACGATCGATTTCTCGTAACCTATAATTGCATTCTCTCAATTTTCTTCAAAATGAGAGCATATCAGTGGTTACACTACTGATTTGACCAAAACAGGTTATATATATAGGCTGACTTCAGGGCATAATTGGAGCCTAGGAATTATTTTTAATTAAAAAAAGACTAAGCATAAATCTAGATGCTTTACTGTTTGATCACAGATTATGAAATTATTGTTAAGGAAAACTAAAGACGTTTAAACAAACTATATTATCTTTACAACAGTGTAGGTTATAAACTCATTAAGCATCACGATACAAAACAATGTAAAAATAAAATAGTTTCGAAAGTTTCTTTTAAATTTAAAAAAATCTAGAAAATCTCCATGAAGTTTCCTTACGGATGGTAAGGAAACTTCACTGTCCAATATGTTGCACTTAAAATTGCAATTAAACGTTTTCTTGGCACCGGCAGGGGTTGAACCAGGGTTCAACCAGGGTTGTTCACATATTGAGCTACCACACAGTTTTTGCAAGGGAGCTACCATTATATATAGAAATATTATTTATAAAAACATCATTTGAATTTAATACATTTAACAGTCAAAATTTTGTCGGATTTTCGTTATAAGCTTCACAAAATTTTTATTATTTCAAATTTAACATCTTTATTTGGTTACAAGAAACTGTGACTGTGTGAGCATCAAAACTAAAGGATATTATTTTTATAGTTGAGCTTCAAAGGGATGGATGATGAAGGTGTTGAAATGGACATGGATGGTCGACAGTGTTCTCAGGTAGGTAAATTACTTTTAGTCAAAATTATTTTTATTCAACTTTGAGCTACATAGTGAAAATAAGTGAAATACAAAAATTTTCGTATCCAGGGCATGGGAGTTGACTTAGATTCAGTCCAAACTAAAATGGAGGTGACCAATGGAGGCCAAGTAGTACCGAGATCAAAACCCCAAGCATGTAAGGTAAGCAATGAATGTGCTAAGTATGTACAATTTGAAATAATTATACTCAAAAGCTCTTCAAACAATTCAATTTTATAAAACTATGACACCAGCTCACACACTTTATGACGCACTCAAATCTAACCTCAATCTCTATGGTGCATACAATATTCCTTACAAAGAGATATTAAATTTTAATAAAATTATTCATAATTAAGTATATATACCTACATGATTCAGAATCCTTATATATTGTTTCAGGTTTGTGGCAAAGTTTTATCATCAGCATCGTCATATTACGTCCACATGAAGTTACACTCCGGAAATAAGCCCTTTCAGTGTACGGTAAGTCTAACTTGTTTAGAAATATGGGGGTTTTGTTCATATATTCAATATGAAATCTAAAGATGGTGTTTGTTTGAATCACAGAACTGCTATAATAACATGGCAAGCACACACACACAACACACACACACACACACACACACTTGGTAAACTTGCGATAGGTTGCAATGATCACTGATGAAGACAAAAGTTAAAAATATATTAATAAATATAAGATTGAAAAATCTTTTTTGATTCTAAATGTTATTGTGGTGTAGTGGCGGGGTAGTAGTAAAATATATGTTATGGACCAAATGATTAATTGGACAATATTCATAACGCCGGGTCAATATGAATAATGCCCAATATGGGTAGGCAAACATGTGATAAAAACTATATCTAAACTATATATATAGGGCATAGTAATAAGGATGACTGATGGTGACAAAGTGATGGATAAAACAAAGAAAATGATTATGGACGACTATGAAAGAGACATTTATTTTGAATGTATTATAAAAAAATCAAATAATACACAATGTAAACAACGATGATGATGACGACAACTCAACTAGATGTAATGAAAGTGATTTAATAAATTTGTTTTTAATTTAGTGCAGAAAATGGAATCTCTAGCAATTATCAGTAAGCATAAATATGAAAAAATTAAAAAAAATTGTGTTTTGAGTTATCTTTTTTTAATTTATTCTGCTATTAATCTAAATAAAACTGTAAATGATTACTGACTATAAAATATCGACATCTCATAAGAATCCAGTATTGTAGGTACCAATGTTTCATTTGAAATGCACCAATGAAATTGTTAATTGCAATTTTAAGTGCTGATTTACCAACGTGCTCGGCGGTGAAGGAAAACATCGTGAGGAACCCTGCATGTCTGAGGAATAAGAAAAAAATATTTCGAAGACATGTAAAGTTCGCCAACACGCATTGGGGCAGCGCGGCGGACACTTCCTTGCCCTAAAACCCTCTCAGAAAAAACAAACTTTAATAAGACACTAAAATAGATGAAACATAACTGTTATCATTTATTAGGCACTTTATCAGACTTCTTGTGAATTTTGAGAAAAATCAATGATTTTTTTGGCATCAAACCTTCTCAGTCTCCTTTTTTTACTCGCTCATATCTTCCACACAGTCTTTATCATTTTTACAACAGTCAAGGCATTGAAGAACTTGATGTTGAGGACGAATCCACTTTTTACAGTTGTCACATTGTTTTCTAGTGGACTTATTGCGCGCTCTGCCACAAAAGGAACATTTCCCGACTTGACCAGTGTTGGGGAGTTGTGCTGGGCATGGTTGTAATTCCGATGGCTCTTTTATGCCCAAAAGCATTTTCCCTTTCATTTTCAATGATTTTGCAATACTTTCAATATTTATTCTGCGTTGTATGCATGGCGCGACTAGGTGAAAACCAAGTTCATATAAAAAATCCTTCCTGGCCTTATTTCTGTAATCCTTGTTTATTGTATGTACAATATAACCTAAATATATAATTGTAAAAAGTTATTATTTCCGGCTTACGTTTCTCTGCTGTTTGTAAATCGATATGATCATCATAGTGCATAGTTGAGTATATAAGCACCACTTTCTTTGATTTTTGCATGTAAGATGCTAAAGTACCTTGTTTTTGAAAGCCAAAAATTGAACTTGTTTCGCTTCTGTTTCTTGTGATTTTGAATTCTTTGGGTATTTGTGGCTTATCTTTCTTCACAGTGCCTACGATAGTAATTTTGCTATCTAAGAGTTCTAAGCATTGAGGTATATTCTTGAACCAATTGTGCATTGTGACATTATAACCTAAACCATCCAATGGGGTAAGCATTCGTAGCACAATGTCCACAACTTTATTTGATTATGCATAAGGACCATCTGGCTGAGCACCTGCGTATATTTCCATATGGTAGGCATAAGGTACCTTTGTATCCGTTAGTAAAAATATGTTTATCCCATACTTTGCTGGTTGCTTCATCAGCAATAACTTCTTCCAACCATCTCAAAATATGTGCCATCAATGTGCGAAATATAGTAACTTCGGTTAAAAATAATATTATCAAACAAAAAAATTCATAATAACAATATTTATACATAATAAAAACACTTACATAAAATAAAAACAATAGGTAAACTTCCGACAAAAATGACACGCGAGTGCTCGCGCGCTCTACTATTGTAGAATTTTAGTTTTAGTGCGAAATTTCTAACAAGTGCGATCGCGCAGTTTGCCGAAAGGGTACTAATTGTGATCATCAGCTAGTAATAGAGGAATACTATGAGTGTGTGCGTTAGACACCCACAATTAATGTTAAAATCCCACGAAATGCATGCCTGTTCTACAATAGTAGAACGCGCGACTAATGGAGTGTTAAATCACTTGGTGCATAACATGTATGCCAAATGCAAATATGTTAATGCTGAAATCATTACACAAATAAATTTAGAAATTAGTTTAAAAAAATTTGACATCGTAGATGACAGACACTCTTTTTAGTGACAGTAGATCTTAGAAAACCAACAAAATGCTTTAATATTTTTATAAATAGCACTTGATTATTTCTAAAATTAAACTTCTTATCCATAACTTTTATTTAGAGACAATGTTTAATTTTCAGGTTTGTGACGCGGCCTTTTGTCGTAAGCCGTACTTAGAAGTGCACATGCGAACGCACACCGGCGAGAGACCGTTCCAATGCGACCTCTGCCTGAAGCGGTTCACCCAGAAGTCCAGTCTCAATACGCACAAACGAGTCCACACCGGTGAGTGCATTTGTTTCCTTAAAGAATAGGCTTCGTTCATGTAATTTGTTTATGAGACATTCAAAGAACAGAAGATTATACAACAAACATGTTTAATAATCACTTATCGCATTAAAATCACATTTTATCATTTATATTTTCTACAATATCTTGTTTTATTATCATAAGATCAAATTGTATCATAGAGTTAAAAAATTTAGAGCTGCCATGTAATCTTCATACGCTAGAATCAAATTTTGCTTTTCTCATAATTTATAAAAATGTCTTACTATTAACTGATAATAATGCATACAATGTATATAAAAGTTACCTGAGCAAATTATCATTTTATATCATTTACAGCTCAAATATTATTTGAACTCTGATCATAAAATTCCAATTTCAATTTTGAGTGCATGTTTGGGGAAACCTTAGTGGCTTCTCCCAAACATGCACACTTTGGGACTAAGAAATTAAAAATATTTTAAGAATCTGAGCAACTGCTTTGTTTTTTTAATAAATTATAAATAATGTTTAAAACATCATTTTGGTTTGTTAGACAATAAAATATTATAATATATTTAAATTTCACAATGAAACTTGAAATGGGGAGGTGTACATTATTTTATATTATTTGTAGGTATATAAGTGATTAAAATAATTTCATACAATGCAAATATGCATACGTCAGTTTCAGAACTTTATTATTAGTGAGCGTGAAGTGTAATATTTCACTCAATTGAGCTCATTTATGTATGCTGGCAACACTAAATTTGATTATACAAGCAAAATTTAGTTAGTCGTTTGTGATTTCTGTTAATAAATAATGTTAACCTGTCCTTTGTATGTCCCAAGTAGTCATTTGAATGTAAGCTAAAACAAATTGCTCGAATTCCCCAATTACCTTTAAAAATTCTGTACATGATGAAATTGTAAAGATTTTATGTATATATGTCAAGTAAATATTTTGATATAACTAAATAATTTAATCTTTTAATTAGTTTAAACTTAAACATTCAACAGAAATTGGTTCTTATTAGTTTATGTTTTATATATTAATGTTTTATTAAATGTAATTTCCATATAAACATGGTGTGGGATAATACTTATGCTTTAAAACACAATGTATAAGTGTGTAACCTTTTGAAGGGATAATAAATAAAGTATATTTTGACTATTTGCTTACTTAACCACATAGATATATAATAGGAGGCTTACAATGCACCACCAACCAGTTTCATGGAAATTACACTTTTATTGAAATAATGACTGTATTGATATTAACCTGCATTAAAAATACTCCCATGTTCTTACCATGAGGGGATTAACCTGTATAAATAGATTTTTGTAATTTCAATAAAGTCGACCTCCTCCTGTTACCGCGGTACAAATATTAAAAGTTTTCTTTTTGTTATCATTTTTTTAATAATATTCTGCTTATATATCTTGAAGTGCCCTGATACAATATATTCTAAGTAAAATATTTTTTTGTTTACAAGCCTTAATATTTCTTTTTAGTATTACATTTATTATTTATACACAGTTTAACTGTTAGTCCTAAATAATTAATTGCTTTTTTTGACATTGGAGATAATTATGTTGATATATTTATATAAATATTTGTATATGTATTTTGTACAGTTAAAGTATAATAGGTCACCTTTTTAATATATTATAGTGTGTACTATATTGTTACTAATGTACATGACAGTATGCTTCCCCTTTTCCCCGTACAAGGCCTCTAGACTGAGCTTTATAATTAGCAATAACATAGTATGTACTGTTCAATATTATAATTATGCTAGGCACGAAGTTTTAAAACAACACAACATTGGTGCATATATTATGATTAGTTCAAAACGTATGCTTAACGTAAAATTGTGAATAGTTTTTGAGTTGTGACACATAGAAGAAGTCGTAATCACAAATATCAGGGCGTGAAGAAGACTTTGTTGATGTGTGGTAAACAGGGGGAGGTGAGGAACTTATGGTGGACTCAGTTGAAATGAAATCAATCCATTGTAAGTTCCATTTTGGCTTAGAAAGTATGAGAATAAAGAAGGGTGTGTTTGGAATGTGGCCTGGCTTTTAGATGAGCACATGCGCGCGTTGATGGTGAAGGAGCGGCCCTACAAGTGCGAACTCTGTCAGATGCGCTTCACGCAGAGCTCCAGCCTCAACCGCCACAAGAAAATACACACGGGTGGGTTCCCCTTCCACACCGCCCTGTGGTCTATATATAATGTTTATCACGACTGATTTCCTTTCGGCTTTTTATTATCTTCACATAAGTAAGTCTTTATTTTGATATGTGATGGTTTCGTTCAGAGGAACACAAACGCGCGCTGCTGTCTAAGGAACGCCCCTACCAGTGCGGCATCTGCTATGTGCGATTCACCCAGAAATCGAGTTTGGGCCGGCACGGAAAAATACATACCGGTGGGTCTATAACTATACGTACTGCCTACTTACACGTGAAAATATTACAAGGCAGAACGGTACTCTTAACGTAGCCTACCTCCCCCTGTGTGTGCGAGTGAGTGAATGCATATTAAGATTAGGCGTTAATGAAATAATGTTGGAGAGAATGATGAGACGCTATATCGAAAATCGTATACCTTATAGAGGAGCACAGACGAGCCCTGTTAGAGAAAGTGCGGCCGTACCAGTGCCACATCTGTTTTATCCGCTTCACTCAGAAGTCCAGCCTCGGCCGACATGGAAAGATACATACTGGTAGGCATCTTGCCTTAAAATCCTTAAGTAGACAATAAATTTATAACCATAGATCTCACGTTATTTTAGGCACTGATCGCTGGCAGTGACATCGTGCGGGATCGTTTTTGTAGCTTTATTTTGTTGGTATTTCTAGAGGAGCACATCCAATCGCTGATCAACAAAGTGCGCCCCTATCAGTGCGACATCTGTGACAAGCGGTTCACGCAGAAGTCCAGCCTTGGCACTCATAAACGTATACACACCGGTGGGTCCCCTGATCATTTTCTTTATTCATTTGGGTTCCAAGTCACAATTCAAATGTTGTTTCATATCTTTTTTATTTTAGTTTTTACATTATTGCTGTTGTGGCTTTGACACCTTATTTGTGAATAGTTTTAAAGGGCTCCCAACTATGTCAAAATTTCTTTGTATGAGATTAGCGATTCGGAAGTGTTTTATGTATTATTTTTACAATTTTTAAGTGCAAAGCGGTTGTTGCTCCCAAATAGGTTGTACGCGCTCAAAAACTATTCACAAACATAAAAAAAGTAAAGCATGTGTACGTTATGAGAATTTTTAGTTAAATTAAAGTAGGCAAGTATTATTTTGATGGACAAATAACATTGTCGAAATTCCCTCATGGTAGCTGGTAGCTAAGGATCGCCCGGCGCTGGTGCGGGCGATGCGTGAAAGAATTATTTGTCCATCGTGGTTTTTGTTTTGTTTCTCTGTCCCCCCGTGTGTTGGCGGCGCAGGCGAGCGGCCGTTCCAGTGCACCGTCTGCCTCAAGTCCTTCACGCAGAAGTGCGCGCTCAATTTGCACGAAAAAATACATACGGGTTAGTAGCCCACATATATTTAAATATATACAGCAACTCCTTCCGGTACGGTAGCGACTACTTACGCGTCGTCACACCAGTTACACATTTTCATTTAGCGTCATGCTTCTTTTCTATTTTTCAGTTGCCCGCCTAACCCGTTGTTTTACGTTCCCTATTTTCGATCGCTTACCATCTCGTTGCTTCCGACTAACATCTCGAACATTCCGTAACTCATTAGATTGCGCGTTTTAACGTACTTCTGCATTCATCCATAACCCTTCTATCATTTCCAGTCTGCAAACACATGTCACGCATTATGTAGCTAATTAATTCAGTGGTTTTAGTGCACCATTTTTTGTATTCATCATTTTCTTCATGAATATTAATTCTTTCACAAAAGCGGTAATGCAATCGCCGCGATGACGCAATAATTGGCGCCACGGTATGATAGTTTATTCGGTGCCTTATCAAAATTGGGGTCGCGATAATTTCGGGGGATTGGCTGTGGGCGGGCGTGGTTCTGTGCGTCGGCGACATGCGTTACTCGCTTTTGTGTGTGCACCGGGCGCAGTGCAAGGGCGTGCTTACACGTGCGGGCAATGCCCGGCGGCCTTCGCACGCCGCCCCTACCTGGACTCTCACATGCGCACGCACACAGGCGAGCGGCCCTATCAGTGCGACGCCTGTCTCAAGTGCTTCACGCAGAAGTCCAGCCTCAATATACATAAACGGACGCACACAGGTGGGTCACAGCCGGCCGGACTGGCGCCCCGCCCGCCCCCAACCACTCCGCTCATTATTCGCTCATTTTATCTTTTCTCTCCTCCAAATCTCTCCCTTCGGCACCGTTTTGTCTCCACTTAAATAGAATTAAATTGTCGCGAAAGCCGATGTGAAGATTTGGAGCAGAGTTAGCGGCGAGCGGCGACCAGTCCGCGCCGCGATCTCCGTAATGCGTGGACGTCTAGCGTCCTTGCGGGCTCGCCGCTGCTATAATATATGTATTGGGCACCAGTCCAGGGCAGACCGTTCCAGTGCCTGTCGTGCCCCGCCGCCTTCACCTGCAAGCAATACCTGGAGATACACACGCGCACGCACACCGGCGAGCGGCCGTATCAGTGCGACATCTGCCTGAAGCGCTTCACGCAGAAGTCCAGTCTCAACATCCACAAACGGACGCACTCAGGTACGTCGCCGCTCGACGCTAGGGACGTATGAACGATATGTAGGCTACTAGGGGGGGAGGTCGGCGCCTTGCTATACATATTAACCGCTCCCTCGTCCACAGTGCAGGGCCGGCCCTTCCAGTGCCTGCAGTGCCCAGCCGCCTTCACCTGCAAGCAATACCTGGAGATACACAACCGCACGCACACCGGCGAGCGGCCCTACCAGTGCGACGTGTGCCTCAAGAGATTCGCTCAAAAGTCTACACTTAATATACACAAACGAACGCACACAGGTCAGTTTATTGCCTTACACCGATCATGTCACATTTATATACGGTTTAAATTCAGTTTCTATATTAAAGTTGTCGGTGCCACATGTCAGGATTTGTCGCAAGCTCGTGAGTGAGCGGCATACTTGTTTGCTTGTTGTGTGTAACGGAGTACTAACGTGCACTGATGGTTAGTGCAAGGGCGGCCGTATCAGTGCATGGAGTGCCCGGCGGCGTTCACTTGCAAGCCGTACCTGGAGATACACATGCGCACGCACACCGGCGAGCGGCCCTTCGAGTGCGATGTCTGTTACAAACGCTTCACGCAGAAATCGACACTCAACATTCACAGGCGAATTCACACCGGTATGGCGAAAGGGGCACGGTTTAAATAGCCTACGACTTGGGTCTATTTGGAGTTTTGCATCAAATTTGGCTCACGTCGAACAAATTGTACACATGTTCGCGATTAATTTATATTGCCTAATATGCATATGTATATAATTGTAATAATACTTTACTATTATAAGTAACGAACATATGAGCAGTTTGTTTATTTGTTACCATGACGATAAGCATTTCATTGGCTTGCATAAAAAATATTATGAAAAGAAATTTTGACTGGCTACAGTAATTATTGTTAATTTGTCCGCATTCAATAATATTATAAATGATTGATATTGACAGCCAATATATCTCTGTCTCTATATTAATTAGGGGTCGTCCTTAAATCACTTGAGGTTCTAACTGGGGGTGAGAAAGTCAGAAAAAATTACGATTAATAACTATGGGGAAGGGGGGGATGGGACAATGTGACAAGCGCGTCATTTTATGTTTTGTGTATTTACGTGGTAGAGTTATGCTGTAGCTATAAATGTTATGGTTGTAGCATGAATGGGTCGGCTCAATCGAGCTGGGAACATTCTCTCACAGAATACTAGCTTAACATAGCAGCTCAATACTGCTGTATTTCGTAAGACGAGTGTAGAGAACCGGAGACCCTTTGTACTGGAAACAAGACATTCCGTCTTACTCCTCATGGGTGACAACGCATTTGCATTTTGATTCGTAATCGAGGACAGATGTAGATGTCTAAGGGCCATAGTATCCACTTACCATCAGGTGGACTGTGTGCTTGTTTGTTGTCACACTTATTCTATAAATAAAATTAAAAAAAATCGTGATGTGTGATTCTTAAAATATTTAACTATTACCAACTAAATTTACAATTTTATTAATATTAATAGTTTTCGGAATGTAATTTTATGGTATTTTTTATTAAAAGATTCTAAAAGTATCTGATCTTTTTAAATACATAATACGCTTGTTGCTAGAAGGGGGTAGCCAAAAAACCTCAACGAAAACCTAAATTCATTTAAGGATGACCCTTTTTCACATGCGCCAATTTATGGTAATTTTATATATAAATGAAAAGAATTGATATGCTAATAACATATAATATGTAAAAAACTAAATGAAATATATTTTTTTAATAGTCCTTTTTTACACACATGGAAATGCTCATCGAATGTAATATTTTTATACCGCGGTAATTTATTCACACAATGTTTTGCTTTAACTATTATTTCTCTGAATATATATTGACGGCAGCTAAAATATTTTGCGCAGAAGACGGCAAATTGCGATGATATATAATACGTCATCTTAGATCTCATGATGTGGCACCGACAACCATATGATTTATCGTTTTTATTATCCGCTACATCATCTCGGTTTTCGTATCGTTTATTTATTATAATTTCTTGGCTTAATTCATTAATTTCAGTATCCATCATACTGTCTAATTGCATCTTGCCGTCTTTTATCATTATTTGCTTTCATTATGCTTTTTCTGTCACCTTTATTCTTTTAAGTTAACAATCATAATTTTGGTCACAGACATTTTGCTGCAATTAAATTATATAAAAAGTATATAAAAAACTAGCTAGCTTGGCTTGGCAGTCATGTTGTTCCCAGTATGTTGTGCGATGAATTTTATTCCAAATAAAAAAGTTAAGAAACCTCTTATAGTGTAAAAATAAAATTTATCAACAACTCGCCTATAGTGCTGACTATAGTTTCCAGATTTTATGATTTTTTATGGCGCTATATCAACATATATTTTTTTATAAGGGTTGACTGGCACAGAATGCCACATGGCATTATGTCCGGCCTATGTAACCTTTATCTTAAGGTGTTACATGTAAGTTTTTATATAAATAATTAATAAATAAACATATTTTGCGTATATGAGTCATTTTGGTCGATTCAGTATATACAGAGACCCAAACATACAGAATTTCTTAATAACACTTTAGCGTCACATATTGGATCATAGCATAATATATATATATATATATATATATATATATATATATATATATAATATTGTGCATATGACTTCAAACAATCAAGTTGTTCAGAAGTAACATGATTGTTAAGAGATGCACCATTATAATATACTATTATGTCATTTAATAAAATGCACATAAAACCATTCTCATTTTAGATACTTAATAATGATAACTATTTTCAGGTGAACGTCCATATGCATGTGATATTTGTCAAAAACGGTTTGCAGTGAAAAGTTATGTAACAGCACATAGGTAAGCATTAACTAGATTCATATTTCACATTATGATTTTTGAAGTAAAACTTCTTTACGCACGCTTGACTTGGGGAGTAAGCTGCCGAACGCGTGACGATAAGAATGATCGGGCGAGGCGAACGGGAGTTGAGTGGGGGATATAAGCAAGAGAGAGCAGTCTGCGCGCGCACATTTTCTTTCTCTCATAGCCCGTTATTTTTCGAAATTTTATTATGTTTCGGATAATTTTATGAATTAAATCAATACATTAAATACTCTACAATTCAAGTGAATACAATAGTAAATTTAAATTATATATATATATATATATATATATATATATATATATATATATATATATATATATATATATATATATAGATGGAGCTAAAGAAGTTTTACTTCAGTTGTGTGGTCATAAGCACACTCGTTATTTTTTTAAGTTATTAGGTCTTTACTCCTGAAATTGCCATTGTCTGGATAGGTACCTCCCTATTAACAATTTTTGCCTCCAATATTAGTGCTTGCATTGTTGTGTTCCAGTCTGAAGGGGTTCCAGTATGATTATAGGCTATGAGGCGTTCTATCTTAGACAACGCATCTGTAGTATTTGTAACCGCTCAAGCGTGCAGCTCGCGCGATTGTTGTACCAATATTACTTACCATTTTTTTTATAGAAGAGGGGGCAAACGAGCATGCGGCTCACCTGATGTTAAGTGACCACCGCCGCCCATGATCAACCGCAACACCAGGGGAATTGCAGGTGCGTTGCCGGCCCTTTAGAAAGGAGTAAGCTCTTTTCTTGAAGGTCCCCAGGTCGTATCGGTCCGGAAAAATCGCCGGTGGTAAACTATTCCACAGAGAGGTTGTACGCGGAAGAAAACTCCTTTTGAAACGTACAGTGGTGGACCGCCAAGCATCCAGATGGTGTGGATGGTATCGGGACGTTTGCCGCGTAGTGCGAAATTGACGAAATTTGGCGGCTGGGATTAATCCGAACAATTCCTCAGAGCACTCTCCATGGTATATGCGAAAGAAAATGCAAAGAGATGCAATATCTCTTCGCAGTGCCAGTGAATCGAGCCGATTAGAAAGCACTCGGTCGTCGACGTTTCGAGCCGCTCTGCGCTGGATGCGGTCAAGTGGAAGGGGCTGGTACTGCGGAGCCCCAGCCCAGAGATGGGAACAGTATTCCATGTTCGGCCGAACCTGCGCCTTGTAAAGTTGCAGGCGGTGTGCCGGCATGAAATACTGTCCCGCTCTGCTGAGCACGCCAAGCTTTTTAGAGGCCAATTTGGCCTTCCAAGTGACCACGAAACTGCACGTCACTCGATATGTCGACGCCGAGGATTCCGATACTGGCTGAGGCAACAAGGGGAGTGCATTGAAACTGAGCAGATACGACAAAGGGGTTTTTTTAGCGGTTAACGCGCAAACTTGTGTCTTCTGGGGGTTAAACTGGACTAGATTTAGTTGCCCCCAATCCGAGACTCTGTTCAGCAAAGACTCGACTTTAGACACAAGTTTGTCCCGGCACTCGGAGACGTTTTCCCGAGAAATATTGGCTCGGTCGGTGTAAAGAGCATCACCAGTGCTGTCATCTGCATAGCAATGAATGTTACGGGTTTGCAACTCATCATTGATATGCAGAAGAAACAGCGTTGGCGATAGCACGCAGCCTTGTGGAACACCAGCATTAATAGGCTTGCAATCGGAGCTTGCACCGTCTACAACGACCTTGATGCTCCGATCAGCAAGAAAGCTGGTGATCCAATCGCACAATTTCTCGGGAAGCCCATAGGAAGGGAGCTTCGAAAGAAGCGCTTTGTGCCAAACCCGATCGAAGGCCTTCGCAATGTCCAAACTAACGGCCATCTGTGAGTTAGGTAGACCAGAAGATCACCAGCTGACCGACCACGGCGAAAACCGTATTGGCGGTCATTAATCAGCTGGTGATCCTCAAGGTACCTCATGAGCTGGCAGTTTACAATGGACTCCATTGTTTTGGAGAACAAGGAAATGATGGCGATAGGCCGGTAGTTGGACGGGTCTGAGCGGTCGCCTTTTTTAGGGATCGGGTGGACGAAAGCCGTCTTCCATGATTTTGGGACTACGCATAGGGAGTAGGAGTACCGGAAAAGACGCGTTAAAACCGGTGCCAACTCTGGAGCACACGTCCTCAGCACAATTGGGGGAATTCCGTCAGGCCCACTCGACTTGTGGATGTCCAGAAAGAGGAGTGCTTTGCGAACCGAGCACTGTGTGAACTGCACTTGCGGCATGGAGCACACACCGCGGGATGGTGGGTGGCGTACTCCCCGTCATCGAGGGTCGAGTTGGACGCAAAGAAAGAGCCTAGAAGATCAGCTTTCTCCTATGCGGTATGGGCCAGTGAGTCGTCCTCCCTGTGCAGAGATGGAAGAGATGGCTGATAGAAATTCCCCTGGACAGTCTTGGCGAGAGACCAGAATGCACGGGTTCCAGAAGGAAGGCGAACTATTTTCTCGCCAATTCTGCCTATGTGCTCTGACTTTGATGCGTCAGCCCAGGCTTGGTAGCACTCCTGCTTATAGCATGATGCTATTATACAGGAGCGAACAAACCATGGCTGAGATTTGCCTCAAATGGGCACCACAGAGGAAGGAATAAAAAGTTCCTTACCCTGAAGTACCATATCAGCGACAGAATCCGCAACAACGTTGGGATCGTCCGGCGAGAAGCAAACCCGCCCCCAAGGGTAGGATGCAAAGAAAGACCGCATCCCATCCCAATCGGCTGACCTATAGTGCCAAACACGGCGGCAGCCTGCAGGATGCAACTACGATTTCAGACAATGGTCCGAGGAGCCTAAAGGGGCGTCGACGGAAATCTGATATCCGTCCGGGTGATAGGTCAGCAGAAGGTCCAACAGGGAAGGTGCATGATCCTCCACATCTGGAATCCGCGTAGGCGAAGTAACCAGTTGTGTCAGACCATATGCCAAGGCAAAATCATGAACAGGTTTCCCCGCATGATCGGTTAAACGTGAACCATTCGGCGTGATGGGTGTTAAGATCGCCGAGGTCGGTGGGGATCTGCTGTAGCAACGAATCTGCAGCCATTTGGACGTGCACGAAGAGTCGGTCTGTTTCGGCATTACCGCTATAGGACGTATAGAGGCACCCGTAGACGCGCGGATGGTCGTCGCTGTCTACGCGTAGCCAATGGATGGACAGGTCCGAACCTTCAAGTCTGCCGAGGCGTCGAGAACAGATGTCCTCTCTGACGTAAACGCAAACTCCAGCCCGTCATATCCTACCCTACCCTACCATAGGTTATTGTTACTTTCTGGGCACTTCCAAATAGTTCTGGCTGTAACTTTTCGCTGGGCGCACAACAACAGCGACTTTGCTTAAAGCCGGTTTTGACTGGGAAATGTCGATGTTCGATTTTAGGTCTGCTGGTCGTAGTTTTCCGTTGGCCTTTTCGTCAGTCCAGTTCTATCAGATCTAAAACTGTTGTATTTATTAATTTAAACCATCAATATCATCAAGAAAAAAAAAACAATAATAATGTGGTAAAGAAACATTAAAAATTTCGATTACGATTCAGAATCATTATAAATTATTAAGAAATAAAACTCAAAATCAATACCGCCCAAGACCCAGACCGTAAAAAATAACAGCAAAACATCTTGCAAACATACTTTGCTATTTGTACTGACCCTTATTTAGAATCATTGCAGTTACGTCCGTGGATATAAAACTATCCACAACAAAAAAACTTGCGTAACACACTAACATTTTTAAAGAATCTTCAGTGAATATAGTTTAATCTTGTTTGTAAAGTGCATTATTATGTTTATTACGAACTATCACTCGTTGCTTAAATATAATTTTACTGAAAAACAAAGTAAACAAAAATAAAATTGGGCTGACAACTTGAGAATGGCCATTTTTTTCTAAACAGCTATACTTTAAATTTAAAATATGACTCGATTTTACACTAAAAATTGTGATATGTAGTTTATTGTGACATATAATATTCTAAGTAATATTAAATAAAACTAAATTACTAAAACTTTTCTTTTTTTTTTTTTTCCCCCCGGGCGGAGCAAAAAAAAAAAAAAATAAATTACTTAAGACATAATTGCTGACACTCAAAAAACACTTGTTCACAAAACACCATGTGTAAAGTAAACTGATGTTAAATAATTATGGTTCATTCGTTAAGGCTTGTTACACTGTCATCTTGTATTTAATACGTAACAAAACTTACAAAAAGTACCGCAGAAGTCCCCAGATGTCAGTTTTATAAATATACTTCACTATCCGGGACGTACAACGCTACTTTTGTTTTGGCTAGCGTAGTATCCATGGACGTTTCAGTGGATAAAGATGGTTGTTGACTGCCTTGTTCGTCTAGTGGTTGTAGTAGTGCGACTGCTGATCATGGGACAGATCCTGGCTTCGAATCCCGGGTTGGACAAAAAAATCAATTATTGAGTTTTCCGTCAAGAAATTGGCAGTAGCTGCCTGGAGTCAGGAAGTTGGCGGTGTGTCATCGCCGTGCCTTGGAAAGCACGTAAAGCCGTTGGTCCTGCGCTGATCTGTCTCCTGTCGTGTTGGTTGACCCGTCCCATCGGATTATGAGAGTGAGGGAATAGAGAGTGCACCTGTCCTTGCGCATACACTTGACCACTATAGTCCTGTTCTGAGCCGATGGCTAGTCTCCGTTGAGGCTGGCCACCGTGACCGAGATTCGGTCTGAAGGACATAAAGATGGTCGCAGGTGTCCATGAACTGTAACAGTCATTTACCATCACGTGTAATGTAAGCTCGTTTGTCTCTTCATTTAAAAAAAGAATCCTCATTTTACCGAATTCCCGCAAATGATTAATTTTTTATAATTTTCATTAATAACCGACGATAGGTCATTCATCCGTAGTTTGGAATGCATCAGCTTTCACTATAGCAGTTTCAGTTCGTCATTATCAACTTCTCCGGGCGGCCACGACGTTCATTTATTAGGTTATAATTTCACGAATGTAAGTGGTTGAACCTATAAAGTACAGTCAAGCATTATTTTTTATCTATACTATAATTGATTTAAGCTGATTATTGCACCAATTTGACTTTTTAATTTTACAGGAGGGTATTTTTGTTTGATATATATTTTTATTCTGAAAAGATTTGTATAAACAATTAAGTATGTTATGAAAAAATTTTGACAACCCTGACACACATTTTCAAGTTTGTATGAAATGTCATCATCATCATCATCATTACAGCCCTTCACAAGTCCACTGCTGAACATAGGCCTCCCCCAAGTAATGCCACAAAGCACGGTCCTGAGCCACCTGCATCCATCGACTTCCTGCATGTCTTACCAGGTAGTCACTCCATCTAGTGGGGGGTCGCTCTACACTACGCCTACCGGTACGAGGCTGCCACTCGAGAACCTTTCTTCCCCATCGGTTATCGGTTCTTCGAGCTATATGGCCGGCCCATTGCCACTTCAGCTTACTAATCCGTTGGGCTATGTCGGTCACTCTGGTTTTACTGCGGATATCCTCATTTCTGAGTCTATCACGCAGAGAAACTCCGAGCATAGCCCTCTCCATAGTTCGCTGAGCGACCTTGAGCGTCCTCATACGGCCAGCAGTGAAGGACCACGTCTCTGATCCGTAAGTCATCACTGGCAACACGCACTGGATGTACACTTTAGTTTTCAGAGATTGAGGTATACCTGACGAGAAGATGTGTCGTAATTTCCCGAACGCTGCGCAACCGAGTTGAATCCGTCGATTGACCTCTCGGTCGAAGTTGGACTTACCTAGTCGGACTATTTGTCCCAGGTAAACGTACTCGTCAACAACTTCGAGCATAGTGCTCCTCACAACTACCGGCATAGGTGTGACATGGACATTGAACATAATCTTTGTTTTGTCCATGTTCATCTTAAGACCTATCCGTTGAGAGACACCATTAAGGTCATTGAGCATAGTGCTAAGGTCCTCCAGCAATTCTGCCATAAGGACTATATCGTCGGCAAATCGAAGGTGAGTGATGTACTCGCCATTGATGTTAATACCGTATCCTTTCCAGTCCAGTAGCTTGAAAACGTCTTCCAACGCAGCGGTGAAGAGTTTCGGGGATATAACGTCACCCTGTCTTACACCTCTCTGCAGTTGGATAGGTTTCGAACTCTGGTTTTGTACTCGGTATGAAATGTAAATTTTGCTATTTGCAGCACAATTAAAGGAGCAAATCATAACTAGTGTGTTAAGTATTGTATATTATATTACGAGGTTAACTTACTTTCAACCTCGAAGTCAAATCCTATTATTTTCATTATAAACCCTGATGGCAAAGTTGTCATAAAGTAAGGTTAACTTTGCCATTTTCTACTTTTGAGTATTTTTTCTATTTAATTTTATTATTTGTTTATATCACTAATAAATACGAAATCTATGAAGAATATAATGTTACTTACTACTACTTTTAACATTGACGCCCAGTCTGAGAGTACCTTTTATGTAAGAAAATTGGTCTTAAACTTTTAAGTCCTTTCAAAAATGGCAAAGTTGCCAGGTTTCACGGTACCGTTCGTTTGTTAATAGTGCTTGGTTCGTATGTCAATGATATTACGTGCCATTTCAGACGCATCGCTTCCATGTTGGAACACATTTCGCAATAACACGAATTTTCATAGAGTGTAAGCAGTATTGCAGATAATAACAAAATAAAAAGATCCAAATTAATAAACGATTTTGAAAAAGCAATAACATGCCTCAAATATGTATAAAAATTTATTTAAAGTAAGATTTTCAAGTAAAACTATACTCGTAGTAGCTACCACAGTTCAAGTTGGCCAGTTCAGCAACGGCAATTACATAGGTAAATACTTAATATTTATTACTCCATACTTGAAGGTGATGTTCCTTTTTTGTGATTTTGACATTACTAAGATTAACTTGTTAGAATACATTATTTACTTTCTCATAAGTAAAATATAATTACAATATTGTTCAAAAACCAATGTCATTGTAAATTCATTACAATGATATTTATTTATGTTCTATTTTAAAGAACAGATTTTTAAAGAACGGAAGTCTGCAGTTTGTGATCATATCCTAGACGGCCCCAACCATTACATCAGATTTGATAGACCACAAATCCTCGCGAAATAACACCGATTCCTACCAAGGATGATACGTGAGGCTACTGAAATTAAAAAAACATCCTAATTTCAATAGAGAAGGAGGCTGGGTACTACCACCTGCTTGGGATCCTATAATCAATAAAATTAAAACTAAACCCAAGCATACCACTGCAAGACCTCAGGACATAGTCAGTTCATTTTGCATAGATCGGACCATAAACAATAATTAAAAAAGCTGAAGGTTCTCCGGGTTTAACAATGACATCGGGACGTCAGTCATCTCAGTCCCCCGTGACCATGGGTGCTGGAAAGCGCCCGAAACGTCGGGAATTAAAAATAAAAAGTAAAAATAAACGCGATAAAATCCGTAAAAGTAGTTTTAATCATAAAAAAATCACTATTTCGTTTTTGTGGAGTCTTGTCAATCTCCACGGATATGCACTGGTGGATAACTAGGACCTCCGAATGTCCTCCAGACCGAATTTCGGTCACGGCGACAAGCCTCAATGGAGACTAGCCATCGGCGCAGGATAGGAATATTGTACTTAAGTGTATGCGCAAGCATAGTTACACTCTTTATTCCCTTACTCTCATAGTTCGACGACTTAGGATTCGAACCCGGGACCTCATGATCAGCTGTCGCTTTTACAACCACTAGACCAATTAGGCAGTCGATTTATTAATTATGTGTTACATTTGATGTCAATGTGAAGGTAAGTGGATACTGCAACCTTTAGAAACGTGCAAGATTTCAAACGAAGAAATCTACTAGGGTTTTTGGACCCCTTAGATATTACTTTCTTACTGGAACACAACGCAGCTGCGGACAGATTGTAGCTTATTGGCAGAAATAGGGGAAAGGATAGACTCCGAAGCAGTAGAAGCTGTAATACCTGGGCAAAATGAACGCGACAGTAGCCTAATGACAGGGCGCGAACCGCGAACTCAAAAAGGTCGTGGGTTCGAATCCGCCATTCGACTACTGGCGTGAACCACTCGTAACACAAGCGATTTAGGATTAACACGAGTGGTTAAAGGGAATATTAGTAATGTTTATAGCATTGGGTGCGTTTGGCAGAAAAAAGCGCTAGCAAGCGCTTGTAAGCAAAATGGCGAAACTAAACAGTTTTCGGCCAGGACACGTTTGCTAAGTTCAGTAGCGCTGACACAATCCGCCATTTTGCTTATTTAATTTGTTTGTTTTGAATTAGAGTTTCTAAGTTGTTTTGTGCAATATTAGTTTTAAGTAATATAACGACATGAATAGACATATACATGTTATTAAAAATTCATGATTGGTAAGTTTTTAATATGAATACTTTACAAACATATATTTAAATTAGGTAAGGTTCCCCGGTTAAAACTAAATTAGTGTCCTATAGGAAAATAGTTACTTATGATTTGACAGCTCTTACCGCTTACGATCGCCATTTTGCTTACAAGCGCTTCCTAGCGCTTTTTTCTGCCAAACGCACCTAATGTTAATATTTTCTATAAAAAAATAATAAAAAAATGAAAAGTATATGGTGAGCATGTTCGTAGATGGTCGCACGTGGCCGACAAGCCGCTGAACTGCGAGCGCTGCTCCATGACGTTCACGTCCAAATCGCAGTTCGCGCTGCACATCCGCACGCACTCCGCCTCCTCCTGCTACGAGTGCAGCGTCTGCGGACGCACCTTCGTGCGCGACAGCTATCTCATACGGTAACCGATTATACCTCTTATTGCATACAAATTAAGGTCGCGTTTTATTTTTATGCCTTTTTTTACTATAATATTCTCATCGGCCCGTAATTAGACCACGAGACCTACGAGAAGAATTTTACGTGGTAGAGCCATGCTGCAGTTATATTAGTAGTATATTTGTAGCACGAATGGGTCGGCTCGACCGGGGAAAGACCAGGCTCTCACAGAATACCAGCGTCAAATAAACGATACCTTTCAACAACAAACAAACGCAGCAATAGCTTAATGCTGCTGTGTTTCTTATGGTGAGTGTAGAGAACCGGAGACCCTTTTTACTGGAAACGAGGCATTCCATCTTTGTCCTCAGGGGTGTCAACGCATCTGCATTTTGATTCGTAATCGAGGATAGATGTAGATGTCTATGGGCCACAGCAACCACTTACCATCAGGTGGACTGTGTGCTCGTTTGTCACCCTATCCTATAAAAAAAATTCAATTAAGAATTTCTCAATAGAAAGGTCAATAAAGCAGAAGATTTTAGACTAGACCTCGGTCTAGGATTGTAATTAAACTATTTATGATGGAGATGTTAATAGTTTTATTTGAATCTTGGGTATAAAAATTTAATTTTGAGTCCATATGTCCCTGAAATACTGTTTCTTGAAGAATATAATTTGTTTCATAGACACCACAATCGTGTACATCGAGAAAACCATAGCAACATGTCGGCAAATAGCATTGGCACGATCAACAGCATCGCTACCAATACCAATAACTCCAACAATAGTAATTTTGACTCACCAGGTGTTTGTGACTTAAGGTAAGTGAATATACATATTTTTTATATATATGATTTCAATGCAATGTATGGAAGAGTTAATTCTTCCGCATAATGCACCTACTGAAACTCTTTTTATATAGTATGCAAAAACTGCATTAACCAATTTCAAAACAATTCATTACAGCTTTGTGCCGATGGTAAATCGCTACATGACCTCACAGGGTACACAAGTATCAATGCAAGACTCGCAAAGCAAAATGTCCGCCATGTCGCCCCAATCCATCGCCTCAATTTGTAAGTTTTATTCTATAATAAGCAATATTGCCTCTATTTCTAATCTCTTTTTTTTAAAATAACAGTAAGCATACAGTTAACCAGCCTATGACTTCTGGAGCCCATGGGCACCTGTAATGAAATTCAAATAAAGACAGAATTGTTGCGATTAATAACAAAGACGATGAAATATACAACAATAGACAACATATGAAATATTTGTTGTTGTTTGTATATATGAAATATTTGTGGTTGTTTGTCCTTGTGCAATTTATGTTTGTAAACTGCCCCCACGATACAGGAGAAAATCCTAGTGTAGGGGTAACGTCTTTTAAAAAAAAAATTATAAGATATCAATTGCACAGGAATAATACAGAACCGCAATTATATGTAACCTACACTTATCGACACAGTGGTGACGAAGGAGAATACTCTACTCTATATCATAACTGATGTTGCCAACCTGCCTACCTAGCAAACAATTTGGCATGTATCCTATGTTGGAAGACCTATGTTGAACAGTGGATTTTAATATACTGTGGGCGCTGCGCCGCTACGCCGCGGGGCGTTTTCGAATTATCTAAATAAAATGTGTATCTTTTTGTGTAGTAGTAAATAAACTTTTATTTTGTATCACCTCTCGGTGTGAACTGACCCTTAGGATACAGTTATATTCTAAAATCTTTGCAGAAGCATTTTCCAACCTTTGAATCTTTGCGAGCAAAGTGTACTTTATATACACATAAGTACCTGGATGACCGAGCTTTCCTCGGGTTTTTTTTAAAATTATATTTAGATACAAATTACATACTGATGAAACATGAATAATATTTTTTGATCTTATTGACATAATAGAAAAAACTGAACTGGTTATTTGAATAAAAATCATGAGTGCAATTAGATTAATTTAAATTTTCGTATTTTTAAAAAACACTAAAGGATCGGCTCGAAATAATAGATTTTCTCACAAAAGAAGGGAAAAAAAGTCGGACCGTAGATAGGACGCGAACCAGGGCACTACGATTTCGCGACGGCCCGATATCCACTTGAGCTATTACGATTATTAACACAGTGTCAAAATTTACCTTCTTATCTTGTAGCAAATTTTTTATTGCCCCCGAAACCACCTGGACACTAAATTTTATGAAATTCGTTGGAGCCGTTACCGAGAATATGAATTTTAGTTATTGTATAAACAAATCATTTTTCTTTTACTGCATATATACATATTATGCAAAATTATTACATTACGTTAAAATAAATAAATAAAACAAATATTTTTTATATAATATTTATGTAAAAACACTCTATGTTCCCAAGTTATATATTACACATATTATATTATATACGTTGCAGCATCACCTCCCCCTCCACACACGCCGACGCCGCAGCCGCAGATGTCTGGCCAGATGCGTCTCACCGACTGATCGTCATAACAGGTGAGACAAATATAGTAGTACAAACCTGTACGTCAAATGAACCAGCTGTTGTTATAGGTTTTATGTCTTTTACTATTATTGTACTTGCATCCAACTTGAGCAAAAGTAAAAAAAAAACTAAAGATATTGTCAATGCAACTGTATTCTTTCTTTTAAAGAATATACTAGCTGTAGTCCTATATATATTTCAACCAGTTTTGATTAAAAACAAAACTGTCAGTTGTAGGGGTTGCACGTCGGAAGTGAAAACATCCTAGCTTCTTCCTTGTTAAAAAAATATTTTTAGGAATTATTTTTTATTAGAAAACTCCTCAGGCGGGCATGGATATTCTAATGCCCAAATCGAAAGTGGCGTTAAACGGCCGTGGGTAATTCAGTACCCAAACGATCTTGTGTTCTAAAAGTTCTTTCTGCCTATGAAGTACAGTTCAAATTAGCGTATCTTTATTTTTAAATAATTCTGTATTAAATTCCCAACCTTTGTTAGTTCTAACAACACTCGTATTCATCCGCCAAATAATAAAAAATTACTTTATTTGAGCAAACAATTTTTCGTACTCAACTCTAACAGAACTGAATCTCGAAAAAAATTTTCTCTCAAGACTGTTCGTTTTTTTTCTAAATATTGCTTAAGAATATATTCACAATGCATTTAAAAATATATCGGTGGTCCGTCGAAATACACGTATTTTAATGAAGCAATGTGTCAAAATTCAAGTCACTGATTATTTTTCCAAGAATCTATAAATGTTAACAGCACTTGTACAGAAATAAAGATTCATTAATTCCCTTTAAAAAAAACACCATTCAAGGGTCATTCCCGCTAATGTAGAGTCATAAATAACGTTTTTTGTAAACAATACCCAATGCGCCATATGTGTCGATTGACATGGCCGTTTAACGCCACCGCGGGGTGCGCGGTTTGCCGCCTGAGCGGTTAGAAATTATTTTTATCGGCGAATTATTATAAAAAGTAAAGTAAAAAATAAAACAATCCATTTATTACGCTCTTTTACATGGAAGATAATGATTATTATCTATAATACAAACAAATTTATAAATACATATTAATTGTATAAAATCATCAGTTGGCTTTAAAACATTACTTTCATCAATTTTATGTATCCTGAGCGTGACGGTCTTCTTTAGAAGTCTTTTTCCCCATCCGAAAAGTGCCCAACGTGGAACTAAGGAAGTTTTCACTTCAAAAATATCTTTGCACTGTAACTTGTATACCTTTTTAAATTAACTTTTTGGTTATTAGTTATTACACACTTGTTTATATTTTCAGCTCTTGGTTGACCAGCTAGCAGCCAGAGTGCAATATTAAAAAATTGGCAGCCATCAACAAGAGCAGCTAAATTAACAAATCAAAGTGGAGAGAGATTATCTCTTAACATTCGTCAGCGTGGACTTCACAGTTTGAATTTTTTTATTGTTAAATCAGTTATTTATTTACCCATTGTTGAGTTGGTCGGGAAAAAGAAGCAAGGAAGGATGCCGTATGGAATGTTCTAGGCGTTTACACTTGTGGGAGCCCTCGAGTTGAAAATCAAGGTGGACATCACTTAAGTCGAGGACTCAAGTCACATAGGGGTGCCGCCTAAGATAAGCATTGTGATTTATAGCCACAGCTGTGATTTATCTCTACCATCACATAATTATATTAATTTTCGTGGTGGCATTTATAAATCGATACTTAAAAGTCTCATCGTTGTAGATTTTAGGCCTAAATTTTTGATCTCATATTCTAATTTGCTTAGTGATAAAACTTTTTGGAAATCGTGAATGGATAATCTCCAGCTTTGAAATTCTAAATTTTTGATGTTCGTCATGCGCTTGTCATCCACATCTCCATTAGATGTAGCGGAGTAAACTATGTCTTATTGCGATGCTTTAACTTAGTACGTCAGTATAAATGAATTTCAATAATTTTATAGAACTGTTACCTTTTGAACTTTAAACATGTAAAAAGGGGCTCTTAGGTTATTAAACCTCTGACATTAAACAGTAAGAATGCTTTAAAAGTAATCACATTTACATACGAAGGAATAATAATGAAATACTAGTACAAAATGAATCCATTATCATGCAGTCTCAGAGGCAATAATGAAAGTTTCACAAAATTGATAACTTTAATATTATGATGTTTATTGGAGTAATCCAGAGAAGTGCCTGTTGCAACATAAAATTGGCAATATTTTTTAATCGTATTATGTTCATAGTGAAATTATGTTCAATGTTCATGTGTGATCATCACCACTTGTGGACTTGTGAGGCAATAAATGAGATATCTGTGACAGTTTTTATATCACATAGGGTTTGTATACACAGAGAGTATAATTTGTGAAGCTTCTTACTAAACTTTGTGTGCCTTCTAGCGAATAGCGATGTAAGGCAGTATGCAGACAGAACACTATAGAAAACTTTAATTTTGTCATGTTTCATTTTTACTGTCATATTACATTCTCATACACAGCATGCTAAATAGATAAATGGAATATTACCTTGTCATTGTATATTTTTTCAGCCAATAAATTTGTTGTTTCCATCATTGGTATTTCGAATAATAGGAATAATGTATAGTGTATAGCGCAGTAGTCTTCCAGTATCTTGAGACAAAGTACTTTTGCACGGTGGAGTGCAAGTAGCGTGTCCGCTGCGAGGGTTCCTTATGGTTTGCCATTAATGATATCAAAGATAGATTGGTGCCATTTCTATGTAAATGATGTGGTAGTGTAAGTTAAGTTAAGTTTGCAGGTCAGGGTAGAATTGGAAATGAAATATTGTAGAGCTCAGTCTCAAAATGTTATGTAACCGCTTCTAAAAATCATTGTTTTCGTATACTCTTCATTATATTGTTTTGTTTCCGTTTATATTGTTGTTTTCTATGACATTATTTTATATTTCCATGATGTTGTGTGTGTGTCCATTAGCTGAGGGTGGGATATTATTGTAAATATTGGTAGGGTTTATTTATTCAAATGAAGTGAAGAAAGGAAACAATTCGAAATGATTGGAACTTGTGATTTGTAGAGGTGTCTCTGCAATGGTGAAATGAATATCGAACTGATAAGAGCATTATTGGAATTAATCATAGAATATTTAGTGCAGAAGTATACTTTGGGTAATGAAATCAAAATTTTCTTGTAGATATACATGATAATGATAATAATAATATATACATATGAATGTTGTTTGATAGTCCTCAATATTTTTTTATATTTTGATAGTTCTGTATTTTGAAACACGAGAAAATAGGCCAATATCTCATTTATCATTTTAATAAAAGAATTATGTATGTACACGATACTTTTAAGATAAAAAAAATAAACATGACGGATGCATTTAGTTGCCCAGGAAATAAAAGTAGTAGAATAGTGTTAAATATTTTCAGTGTTTTTGAAATTAATGTCATTTTTTTTTTATTAAGTTTTCTACCAAGCCATTGAGAACAGTATTATTTAGAAAAACTAGAACTTTGGTTTAATGAGTAGCATAAATCTTGCAAACTACCATTTTATGATCACCACTGAAGAAAATAAAACCATATTTTATCAATAGATGTAGCAACAATGTCGAGCACCTTCTCTACGGTGCTGGTCGTTGTTGACATACTATTATATTATCCATAGATATTATAAATGGAAATAGAAACACCAACATAGCAAACTAGTTGCATATAAAATATATAGATGTATATTGTATCTTTACTTTCTCTTTATGACTCGCCTAAGGTGAGATATTTTACTTATAAAGCCTAGAATTATTAATATATTTTGTTGTTATATGTTCGCTGTCTTTATTATATTGTTTATCTTTAATTATTTTATCGATTTATTGTATCAAACCATCAACCGTATGGTGTCAAAAGAGAAAGCGAAGAACGTATGGTCCTTATAAATTACGAGATAAACTCAATATAAAACCCACATCGTGTAACGTGGATTAGTGATAGGAGTATATTTTGTAAAAGATTAGGACCCTTAATAAAGCAGCGTGGAGTTATAAATTGCCATAAGTCCTTTCACAAAATTTTAACCATATGGCCATATCTGCAATTTATTTCTCTTTGCTGTACAACTATTTTACATACCGATGTTAGTTACTATACTTAGGGAGTAATAACTGAACTATTTAAATTTACGTAATCGTAAAAAGCTGTATAAGTTTATATTTTCACTTTCTCTACTTATTTTGTCAACGGTAGAAAAAGACTGAGGTATTAAAAGAATCCACAATGTCGAAATATTAGAATACTCACCAAAATTAAAACAAAATCACTGGCAAAACAAAATTTTTAGACTATTATTGTTGAATTTTCGTTTGTTTTAACATCAGATCGGTTGTGGTGACGGACCAACCCAAGTTTATGTATTTGTAATTCACATTTGAAAATTCGGTTAAAGAAATCGTACATATCCTTCCCTGAACATGATGTAATATTATGTATAGTTTTGTTGTCGAGGCAAAGTACTAGTCTTGGAGGCCGCAGTGACGTGCCGCCGACCAGTTTATTCGATTGTAGTAGTTATACGAAGCGAATAACAGTGAGCCTTGTGTAATCATTATGTCTAAGACACATGAATATTTAGTTGTATTGTATCCTTAGATTTATGCGAACTTCAGCTTTGCCAACATATTGCGTTGCTTACATCATAATCATATGAGAGTACAGCCTAAGGATTTTAACTTTTTTTATATACTGAGAGCTATTCCTAAGTCACTGTTTTTTTTACAATTTCTAGTTATACATAATCAAAATATTATATTAAATGGCTATGAGTCATAACAAATTTTGGAGTATTTTACATATTACATTTAATTCAAATTTTATTAAAATCCAATGAACAAACATCATGGCATGGTAAAGTTGATACGGTCATTTAGTTATAGCTCTACAGAGTTTTGTGACCAATATTTTAAACTGCATCTGTTTTCTTTTTTAATTGTTAAAATTTTTAGGCTAGTTTTATATATTTTTAAAT